TGCGCACCACGGAGAGAGGAACAGCCTGATACCCCTCAGAGGGCACTGGAAGAACAAGGAGCAGATTCTTACAGGGAAGTGGGGGAGGGTTGAGGGTCACTCTCCCCACCTACAGAGCCCTAATGGGGGTCCCCAGGGTAACCCCCCCTCCCGCAGAGCTGGGGAACCTCCAGGTCTACACCCAGTGGAGCTGGGAAGAGAGGCGTGCACAGTATAGGGGGATTTGACTCCAGGCTTGGCCATGCAAGACCAGTGCCCCTCATCCTTATTAAAAATTTTTTTTTTAATTTTTTATTTTATAAGGTGTTTGTTCACAAAAGTTCACAATATTTGATTACATGTAATATTCAAGGGCCAATCCCACTACCATTACACCTTCCCACCACCATATTTGGGATGTTTCCATCCCAAGCCCCAAGCCCTGTCCCAAAGCAGAACCGAAATAATATATTTTGTGTTGTTTGTTATGAAAAACTGCTGGAAATGCTACCCAAAAAAAAGTATCCATAGAGGAAACAGTGTGAAGATTGTTCTATTTTGTCAGGGGACATCAAGACCTTCTTTAGGATATCACTAACATGTTGTTAAAGGTTGAGTGATGTCCCAACAATAAGAGAGGTAAGTAACAGGAGGTTCATGCCATGGCTTGGAGGCCAGCCGCACATGCTAGGGGAAAAGGCAGCTCAGATAGAGAAGGGAGCACCAAGTAAAGGGTGTTGGGAGCATTCTCTCAGGATGGGAGATACATGCTGAAAGTAGACCAAACAGTGCCTCTTTTGCAAACCACAGCACCCAAAAGGAGAGAGAGAACAAAAGGGAATGCCCTGCCACAGAGGCAGGGTGGGATGGGGGGATGGGGGGTGGGAGGGATAGTGGGACCCGTGGTGGTGGAAAATGGGCACTGGTGGAAGGATGGGTACTCGATTATTGTATAACTGAAACCCAAACACAAAAATTTGTAAGTCTACGACTGGACCTCATGGTGTCTCACTAATAAAAATTAAAATTAAAAAAAAAGGAAAAAAAGGTTGAGTGATGTAAATATATATGTATATATATATATATATATATATATATATATATATACATAAATATATTTCCCCCTATGATTGGTTGCCTACTATTTGAACCCCATCAGATGTGGTGTGGTACTCTGGAGAATAGGGAGGGAGTGTCTTATGATGTTACACAGCATAGCCATGCTACCGGACCCTCCCCGCCCCAAGGGACCCAGCCCCTGCAGCCAAAACCCTCCAGCACCCCTCACCCCTGAGCCATCTCCCCATCCTGGGAATCTTCAAAAACCCCAGAGGGAGCCGAGCGCGGACCCCAATTCTCGAATCTCTCGCTCCCCCTGGTGTCCGAACGCGGCATCTCACCTCTGAGCGGCTGCATGTCCTTGATGTGCATCGGTCCGGGTCCCGAGGCGTGCTGGGCCCGCTTCCACCTGTGCTGAGTGGCTGGCGGCTGACCTCCACGGGGAGCTCGGAACGTTCTGCACCCCTCGACCCTCCCTCGCGGGGGTCAGCCTGGAAGCCGGGGCCTTCCCGATGAGGAGCCGAGCTCAGATCTGCGTCCGTCAAGGGAGTCTGCAAAGGAAGCCGGGATTGGCTTGAGGTGGCTCTGCTGGAGAAGGGTCCACTCTCCCCTCTGCAGGGGCCCCACGTGCTCACGACGACCTCGCTATCCACCGAGCAACCCCCCCCCCACCCCGCCCCCACCCCTCGGACCCTGCGCTCCAAGGCTCCGATTCTGCAGAACAAAGCGGATTTTGCGGACAGTCCCTCGGTGTCCCGGGGTACACGGGTTCCTGGGCTCTGTGCGGGCTGCGGGGTGGGAGGAGGGGTTATGGGTGTGTAGGGGTCCCCTCTGGGCTGTGGGAGCCAGGATGGGCCGGGGTCTCGGTGTGGTTGAACCCCCATGGCAGTGGAAGCAACCATCATCCTCCTGCTCTGCCGTCTTGCTAAGGTCACCTAGGTGTGGATTCTCCTCTCTTGGGAAGGTGTTTGACAGGAGTTTTACTAGACACCTATAACTATTGTCTTGACATCTCTGCTTCGTGGTTTTTATTTTCTTTGTTTTGTTTTGGGGCCCCACCTGGTGGTACCCAGGGCCTTCTCCTGAGTCTGAGCTCAGGAATCACAACTGTGGATCTCGGGGGCATGTGATGTCCGGGATCTAGCTGGGGTCCACAGCACACAAGGCCAGCTCCTTACGCCCTGGACTCCTCGCTTTCGTGGTCTTTCCATTTCTTTCAAGCAAGTGTTTCAGGGAGTAGACAGCCTGAATTTCTCTGAAGTGTGATGTTTTCATGTAGATGCTTTATACACTCAGTGACCCACTTTGAATTACTTTTGTCATTGTTCTAAGTATTACTTTTGTCTTTGTTCTAAGATGTTACTAGTATCGCTCCTTCCTCCCTCCTGTCCTGTCCTTCACACTCTCCTCTCCCACTCGTCCCCCTCCCTCTTTTGTTAAATTTTTCTTTATCAGCTTCTACAAGTACAATTGTAACCCTTCATTTATAACACAGAATTTAAGTTTATCTATTATAGTTAGACCATCTTCTCTTCCCTGTCATAGTTGATTTAAATTATGTATATATTTCCTGAGCAGATGAGATATATTAATGCAGTATTGAATTCAGAAAGACTGGGAGGTGTCACCTCTGCCCTCCCCTCCCTTCTGCCTGGTTTCAGTTCCAGACCCACCTTCTTGATCGCTGGTTCCTGTCCACCCTAACTAAGCTAATTAGGTCTTCATGTGCTCTTCCTGCTCCTTTTCCACTAAAAAGCTGATCTATGTCTGCATGTATGTATATATTCATACATGCATAATAGTTCCTAGGGAGCATTTCTTCTTGCTGTACTTGCTGGATCACCACAATTTATTGAGCGGTTCGCAAAGTATAGGCATTTAGGTTGCTTCCAATCCATTGCAGTGACAAACAATGTGGACACAGAGGTTTGTATTTCTGCACTGTCGGAGAGCTGGCACTGTGTCATGGGGTAAGTTTCCACAAGTGGAATTGCTGGGTAAAATGTCCATATGTATTTATTCATATAGCTTTTTAAAAATTATATGTTTTATTTTTTATAAAGTTGTGCACAATAGTTCATTACAAATTATGTTCAAACACCAATCCCACCACCGAGCACCTTCCCACCATCATAAGAGGAAAGTGTGTGGAAATTGTTGTATTTCATCGTGGAGCCATTGAAGGCCTTATAAAAATATTAAGAGCATGTATGTTAAAACGAAACAAATGTATGCTACTTTTGGTACATCAATGGTCTAGGACGTTCTGTGCTGCTCTCTTCCAGGACCTTTATTTCAGAGTCTCTGGCTCTTGGGTGTTGATGAGATTATATGGTGCTGGGAGCAGCTTATGGGTGTGACTGCCAAGCTACTGGAAAACTGAAGAACTGGGGGGAGGAGTCCCAGTCCTGTTCTGAGCAAGCTTAGAGATCTCAGTCACAGGTCGCACATACCTGGGTTTTTCTGCAAGTTCCCTCATAGGTGAGGCTCATTCGAGCACGTGAAGAGTGGGCTTGAGCATGGCTGCAGTTGGGTTCTGGAGGGTTTCAGCTGCCGGGTGCTGCTTGGGGCGGGGAGGGAAACTGAACCCGCCCCCCCCTCCACCCCGATGTGCCTGGTGAAGACAGCCTGGTGCAGGGTCAGGAAATTCTGTGTTTCTCTCTTCTGGGAGCTTTATTTCATAGTCTCTGGATCTTGGCCGTTAATGAGATTATACGGGGTCATATAGCTTTGTTTACTAAATTGTTCATCAAACTCCCCTCCAAAGTATAGAGCAGTTTCCACTTTTACCACTGAGAAAGGAGATGCTTGCTTCTCCGAAGCTTTGCCAACAGGTCTGGGGCTGATTAGTATTACTTGATCTTCCATCTCTCTAAGAATAAGTATGAACCAATCTTTATCAATGTAAGGGATTTAAATAATTTAAAATTATTGTCTTTTTCTCATTTTTTTCCTATCAGTTTTTTTAGTCATTCTTCAAATTTTAGGAGTCCTTTTTGAAGGGGGAGGAGGAGTGAGTCTAGGTTGGACTTACGGGCTATGCTTCACGGTGCTTAGGGACTATTCCTAGCTGTATGCTCAGGTTTAGTCCCTGGTGGTGCTTGGGGGACCATGTGTGAGGCTGGTGCTCGAACTGGCATCTATAGGAGGCAAGGCCTCACCCCTTAGGCAGTAGCTGATGATATTAAGACAGTATTCCACTGAATATTTACCATATGTTTAACTTATGGCAGGTACTGGACTAGCCATGGGGATTTGCCAGATTTGCATTTTGATATGATTTTGATCATCTAAATAGTTTTAGATTTTGCATATCACAGACCAATGAAAGCAAAGGTCTCATTTATAACCAGAAATGCAGAATTTATGCAAACAGACATCTTCATGTTGTCATGGATGGTGCGTCTGCTCCATATGGGAGTGCTAAGTAGTCATGTTGCGATCCAGAAACCAGAACAGAAAGTTCTTTCTGGAGGGGGCAGCTGCCTGCTTCCGGGGAGGGGAGTGGTGAGCAGCATGGGATCAATCTCCTCCAATTATTCAAAAGCTAAATTTCTGTGACTTCAGAGACCTCAAAATCTTCTTTGCTGTAGAAATTCAAAAGACGAGATTGAAAAGCATAGTCCAGCCTTCCACTGCTGAGCATCTGACAGGGATTCACAGCTTCAAGTAGGTACCATTAGTGCCTGAAGAGGCCACATGAGGAGCTGAGATCATCAGACGTCAGGACAAAGAAATTAGAACCAATGACATCTGTCAGATAAAGTATGGTAGGCAATGAATGGGTCATACCTCAGAGAATGAGATAAATTACTTGAACACACGTTTTTAGGCAGATTGTTTATGCAGAGTGTTTATGCAGATTACCCATTTATAAAAAATCATTATGCATTAGAAAAACATGTGAAGAATATATTAAGTACTCGGTGTCTTTTCCTTTTGAAGCTCCCCCCCCCACCAACTAAGATATGGGATGCTTCACAAATTTGCATGCCAGCCTTGTGCCAAGGCTGTGCCCATCTTCTCTGTTTTGCTCCAATTTTAGTATCTGTGCAGCGGAAATAAGAACTGAGTGGTTTTTATAGGAAATATGGAAACGTGAGTGTTCCTTATTTTATTTTTGACTTATCCCTGATTTCAAAACTTTTTTTTATCATAAATGATGTTTCTGCAATAAAGAAATGTAAAATTAGAAAACATTGACGTAAAATTTAAAAAGATGGACTGTCTCCAACATTGACTGGAACAGCCACTAGTAACGCAGGTTGAAGAGTATTGGGAGTGAACCACATAAGCCACATAGAAAACACATTTGGGCTGAAAACAGGAAGAAACCATTTGCAAAACCCCCTCCCATTGACACATGCCAGAAACAGAATTACATATCTCGCCTAATAAATACACTATTTCAAGCACACTAGAATCATTTATAAAAATTGAGCACGCTCTTGATCAAAGAACAAGTATTCATAAGCATGGAGGAATTAACAGCATATTAATTATATTAATAGCATATTAATAATTCTGTATTTGTGTCAGAATTATTGTAATTATATCAGAATAAAATTACAACAGAACTATTTTTTAAAAAGTAATGAAAAAAACTCCTTCAAATGTTTAAGTACTTTGAAAAATATATATGGGATGCTGAGAACAGAACCTGGGTCAGCTGTGTGCAAGACAAACACTCTACCTGCTGTGCTATCGCTCCAGCCCCTGGAATCATCTTTGCACCCATGCAAGGATGTTTAGTAATTATTGTGCCTGCTCCTTTGTCAGTACCATACTCCCTCCCATCTTTGATCAGTTCCTGTCTTTGATTTCATCCCTCTTCCATAGCCATATAGAATGCTGGGAAGCTGACTATGCTTTTGCTAAAGGAGTTCCTGTGTTACAGGTGTTAGACGCAGCATAAGGTGAGACCGCCGAGGATAAGACTTGGTGGAGACTAAGATTGGTTGTAGCCAAGAAAATCCTAAATAGATGACCAAGCTACCCCAGGCTGACTTATAGGTAAGTGTATGCTCATGATGATAAGTTCGCATAGTAAAAATTATATCCATTTATGCCATGAGAGTTTCCATGATCACCCCCAGGAAACCACCAAATATGGTTAAATTACAGGAAGCATCTAAAATCTGGGAGAGCACCACCTCAAACCTTCCCTTTTATCTGAATTTTCATGAATTGTGTGAATTCACCTCATTTCTAGACCTGAATAACCTAGAAATTCTGGAATATTCCTGCATTTTTACTCCCTGAGTTTGCCCTGCTACTGTTTGTATTATTTATAAACAAGAAAAAAATGCAGTATTGAGTCTTAATAAACTCTAAGAAACCTTTTTCTAGTCTTTAGTCCTCTGCCTCAGGCTAGTTCTCCTGGTCTTAGATCAAGGTCTAAAGGCTTTAACTCTGACTGGGCACATCCTACAGTGGAAAGAAGGGGTTGGGGAAGAGAGAGGCCAAATCCATGAACAAAGCTTCTGTGATTTGACCTTTCCCTGTCATTCTCAAGGCAACTCTTCACCTTTGTTGGTTGCTCCCAGTTTTAAACTTCTTCACCCTTAGTGTTACTCAGGTGAGTAAGCGCCAATTGCGTCCACTCACTTTCAATTATTCACAAAGCATCTGTTGTCTTAGCACTGGTCTGTCCATCGTGTTTGATTTATTCTCAAAGAACTAAAGACCTAAAGTGATAAATTGCATTTTTTTTCTTTTTGGGTCATACTCGGCAATGCTCAGGGGTAACTCTTGGCTCTGCGCTCAGGAATTACTCCTCGCGGTGCTCAGGGGACCATATGGGATGCTGGGAATTGAACCTGGATTGGCCGCGTGCAAGGCAAATACTCTACCCACTGTGCTATCGCAAACCAACTAGGTGCTTATTGAAAGCTTCAAAATAAGGTGAATTTTAACTGGGTTTCATCTGGGCGGTATATGAGTAGGTATAAGTGCATCAAGTTTTTTTTTTTATTTATTTATTTTTTTTTTATATAATTTATTTATTTATTGAATCACTGTGGGAAAAGTTACAGAGCTTTCGGGTTTAGGTCTCAGTCATGTAGATACCGAACACATTTCCCTTTACCAATACTCATTTTTAACCCCGAACCCCAATAGACCCCCACCTCCCACCCCTCCCAATTCTTGTGAGGCAGATGAGTTCTAGTTAATACTCTATCTACTTTGACTATATAGATTATTTCGATAGAAGATGCACAACTATTGTTTAGAGCTTACGACCCACCCCCCCCACCCCAATCAGACATGCTGAAACAGCGTTGTGAAATGATTTGCTTTCTACAACTTGGTTTAAGAATAAAATGAGGTCGCGCGGCCGCTATCGCGGCCGCGCGGTTTTGAATTTCTGCTATTTTACTTATTGACCCTGGAAGAATTTCTATTAAAAGTTAGCTAGTTAAGAGATTGGTTTCTGTGCCCTGGAGTCGTGGCCGTGCCGGAGAGCCGCGCGTGGGGGGCAGCTGGCGACCTTGGTGGGGCGTGGGGGACGGCCCACAAAGCCCCCCCTTCCCATGAGGTCCCCGCCGCTCCCCCGAGCCCGGCTCAAACCCGCTTTCCACAAGGCTCCCGTGCGGCCGCCATCTTTCTTTCCAGAGAGGAGCAGGCGGGCTGGTCAACGCCCTTCCCCCTCCGGGCAGGCTTGGTGGCGCGGATCAACACAAGTCCATTTGCTTTTCTGCTCCAAGCGGCTGGTTCTCTGTGCTAAGTCCTTGTGCCTCCGGGGCCGTGGCCGTGCCGGAGAGCCGCTCGTGGGGGGCAGCTGGCGACCTTGGTGGGGCGTGGGGGACGGCCCACAAAGCCCCCCTTCCCATGAGGTCCCCGCCGCTCCCCCGAGCCCGGCTCAAACCCGCTTTCCACAAGGCTCCCGTGCGGCCGCCATCTTTCTTTCCAGAGAGGAGCAGGCGGGCTGGTCAACGCCCTTCCCCCTCCGGGCAGGCTTGGTGGCGCGGATCAACACAAGTCCATTTGCTTTTCTGCTCCAAGCGGCTGGTTCTCTGTGCTAAGTCCTTGTGCCTCCGGGGCCGTGGCCGTGCCGGAGAGCCGCTCGTGGGGGGCAGCTGGCGACCTTGGTGGGGCGTGGGGGACGGCCCACAAAGCCCCCCTTCCCATGAGGTCCCCGCCGCTCCCCCGAGCCCGGCTCAAACCCGCTTTCCACAAGGCTCCCGTGCGGCCGCCATCTTTCTTTCCAGAGAGGAGCCACATCAAGTTTTATGTTTAAAAAAATACAGCATAGAGAGAATGACATTTTTTCCAATTTGAGAAACGATGTATTGTTACTCCAAATAGGAAACCTTTATCCTTTGAGAGTTCTAGGCTTGGAATTCTTATTTTCCTAGGCTAGTGGATTTATTGCCAATTAATGGAACAAGGTCATTGTCAGAACACAGCCTCTAGCAGCTGGTTTGCCATCTGTTGGCTGAATAAAAATTAATGGGATTCAGATACAAAAGAAACAATTTGCCACGTCATTCTGATAATTATTCTTTTTTCTGTAATAAAAACAAAGGACTGTGATCATTGAAAACAGTTGCTCACAGACAGACAGAAGCATTTTCCTTTGTGCAGTAGGTAGGGTTCTGGGAAAATCCGCGTTTGTTTCTTTTTCCTCTTGTATAATTGAATCTCATTTGTTACCAGAAGGAACATTTAGTTTTTAAAAGAATTCCATTCTGATTCCTTTAAAAACATAGATGCTAATTTTTAAAGAAAAGAGGATTTTTTATTCTGGTTCCTTAAAGACATACATAGTTTTTCATTTTCTTTTTTAAAAATTTTTTTGGGGGGTCACATCCAGCGATGCACAGGGGTTACTCCTAGCTCTGCACTCAGGAATTACTCCTGACGGTGCTCAAGGAACCATATGGGATGCTGGGAATTGAAGCTGGGTTGGCCGTGTGCAAGGCAAATGCCCTACCCACTGTGCTATCTCTCCAGCCCCAGTTTTTCACTTCTTTATGGAAAAATATTTTTCTTCAAAGTAACCTTGTAATTAATACACATGGATTCGAATGCAAATGCAATCAGTGTTGGTAATGAGAAGTAGGAGAATGAAACCTTTTCTCCCCCAGGCTGTGCCTCTGGGGTTATTCCTTCTTACTGTTTCTCCTTGCAGGTCTTCTGAAGGTTGTTGGTTTGAACTGAAAATAAAACCTGCTACACCATCACTTCTTTTTGTTTAGGGCCATACCCAGTGATTCTGGGGGTACCTTAAGGTCCCGAGAATCAACCCCAGGCCCTCACATATGCAAAGCAAGTGACCTGGTCTTGAGGCACTTCCCCAGACATGCTGCTGGCTTTGCTAACCCAAACATGCTCCGACTTCCTTTTGGGGTAGAAGACCCAGTTCTCTTGGTAGCCTCCCTCGATGATCAATGGATCAGTGGCACTTTGCAGGAAGGGTTTCCTATCACGCTTCACCTTCCTTCCTCTGAGAGCACCATTACCTAGTTGTGGTCTGCGGTGTTGGTCCTGATTGGTGTCCTCCGAGATGATGCAATGTATGGTTTGGCACCTGCTGTTTCATTAGCTATGTGTTCTTGCATTGTTCTAACTCCTGGCATTCCAACGAAGATCTCCAAGACAACGAATGTAATACGGTTCCAAAGCTGATGGAAACTATTTTGTTGAATAGTTTTTGTTTTGATTAACTAGCATACTGTAATTGTAATTTGACACATCATAAGACACTTCTCTATCCATTTTCCATGATTACCACACCATGTTTGATGGAGTTCAGACAGTAGGCAACAAATCATAGAGAGAAATATATATATATATATATATATATATATATATATATATATATATATGCCTCTCAGAGAGCCTGGCAAGCTACCGAGAGTATCCCGCCTGCATAGGCAGAGCCTGGCAAGCTCCCTGTGGCATATTTGATATGCCCAAACCAGTAACTATAACATGTCTCATTTCCCCTGATCCTGAAAGAGCCTCCAATCGTTGGGAAAAAATGAGTAAGTAGAGGCTGCTAAAATCTCAGGGCTGGGACGAATAGAGATGTTACTGGTGCCCGCTCGAGTAAATTGGCAAACAACGGGATGACAGTAATAAAGTGATACTGTAATTGTTGTGACTTCTTTGCATAACTTGATGGATTTTAGTAACAGCTGAGAAGCCCTGGGTCCCCAGTACCTAGATTCTCTCATCAGTCATATGGAAATGCTGCGAGATGGCTGGAGTCCAAAGGCCGGGGCCCTCATAGCCACAGGAGAATCTCTGCTCCTGCCCCACTCGCTCCCAGATCAGATACTCAGACCCTAACAGGCACCGCACCTGCCTGTGTAAGGTGTGGGCTTGGTCCATTCCAGTGTGGGGACACAGCTTCCCAGCACTTTACACAGACTCAATAAACCCTTCATCTAACAAATGTTCTTAAAAAATCAGAGCTAGGGTCTGGAGTGATAGTACAGCAGGTAGGGTGTTTGTCTTGCACAAAGCTGACCTAGGTTTGATCCCCAGCATCCATATGGTTTTCCGAGCACTGCCAGGAGCACTGAGTTCAAAAACGGGAGTAACGCCTGACAGTTGCTGGGTGTGGCCCCAAACACCCCCCTAAATAAATAAATAAATAAAGGAGTTTGCATGCAGCCAAACTATTGTATCCCTAGTAACACATGAAGTCCCCCAAACACCACAAGGAGTGATCCCTGAGAGCAAGACAAGAAGAAGCCCTGAATATCAAATAATCAAATGAAAAAAAAGCACTGTCCTTTCATTGTTCATTGATTTGCTTGAGCGGGCACCAGTAACGTCTCACAGCAAATTGTGAGACTTGTTACTGTTTTTGGCATATCAAATACATCACAGGTAGTTTGCCAGGCTTTGCCATGTGGGCGAGATACTCTTGGTAGATTGCTGGGCTCTCCGAAAGGGGTGAAGGAATTGAATCAGGTCGGCCACATGCAAGGCAAACACTGCATCCGCTGTGCTATCGCTCCAGCCCCAATTAAAAAAAAATCAGAGTTAAATATAATTTAATGGAAATAAGGCATCAATGGGCAGGGCAGAGGTGGGGGATGGGAAATCCCCTGGTGCATATCCAAGGAAAAAGAGCCAATGAGCACAATCAAAGTGAACCCCCAGAATCTGTCTCCAGAGAGTGCTTCTCTTGGGCTGCTCCTCGAGAGGAAGGTTCTGGAACCTGGTGCATTGGCAGAAGCCAGTTCAGGCGCCACAGAGCCTGGCCCAGGTCAAGCAGGTACATCCATGTCTCCAGGGAAATGGGGGCTTGCAGGACCCAGCTCAGGCCCACAGGCGTGTTGGGCTCACAGGTGGGTTGTCTCCTTGTCGGTGGTCAGCTGCAGGTACTCCAGCGCGCCTTTCTTGTAGCTGGCCACGCGGGGCACTTTGCGGTTTCGGACCCCTTCGGCCTGTCTCTTCCGTAAGGAGTTGGCCAGCATGTCTGAGAATTCCGCTTGCAAGCGCTGCTGATTCTCCCTGGGAGAGAGAGGGGGAGAAAGTCACATCACGGGAGTTTCCCTGCAAGTTTCCTGCCGGACTGTCTGGTCCACGCCCGACAGGTGCCAACTGCGCGCCCAGTGCTGAACTCAGGGGCCCGGGGAGTCCAAGGACCTGAGGCATGGGCAGTCCCGTTCCCCAGGGTCCTGTTTGGACCACGAAAGCCCTTTCCTGGGGCAAAGCTGAGGTCAGAAGTGGAGAGGTTGCCCAGGAGGCCTGGCCCTGGTGGGACCCTAAGTCTTGCGGGCTCCACACCTTGTTAGGAGGGAGCTTTTTAGGGAAAGCTCAGCTGGATGGTGACTTTTTTAGGTTTTGAAATGAACAGGGGCACTTCACGTGTGAGGTCAGGACTCCTACACCCCGGGATAAGGGGGTGCAATCTTATCCCTTCTTCACTAGCCTGTACCCAGCTGCATCAAGGGGCTTCTCTGTCACAGTGAAAGCCTCGTGAGTGAATTCTCTGGAATGTGACTGAATAACAGTTTGGGTCCCTGTTGCAGGAACTGAAACATGAGTGTTAGACCCGAAACTGTGTCTTCCTCTTCTCAGGAGGCAGAGTTCAAGGAAGGAGCAAAGTGCCAATGTGGGGCGGGGGGAACTCTGTGTCACCTGAGATTCAGCAGAGCACTGCAGGCTCTGGCGGGTAGGGGTGAGGTGCAGAGGGCGATCAGCACGGGTGAGACATAGAGGCAGGAATGGGGTGTAGAGGGTGGTAGACAGAGGTGGAGTGTGGAGGGTGGTAGGTAGGGGTGAGGTGCAGAGGGTGGTAGGCAGGGCTGGAGTGTGGTGGTAGGCAGGGGTGGAATGCAGGGGGTGGTAGGCAGGACTGAATTGTGGAGGGAGGGAGGAAGGGGTGGAGTGTGGAGGGTGGTGGGCAGTGCTGGGGTGTTGAGGGCAGTAGGCAGGGGTGAGGCGGGAGGGTGGTGGGCAGTGCTGGGGTGTTGAGGGCGGTAGGCAGGGGTGGGGTTTGGAGGGTGATAGGCAGGGGTGAGGTGTGGAGGGTGGTAGGAAGGTGGGGCTGGGGTGCAGAGGGCCCTGTTGTCTGATCCTGACATGCAAGAGGGTGATCTCTAAATGGTCTGTTGTCCTCCTGAAAATGCTGGGAACTTTGGCTTCTTCCTTTCAACTTTGGCTTCTTCCTTTCAACTTTGGCTTCTTCCTTCCTTCCTTCCTTCCTTCCTTCCTTCCTTCCTTCCTTTTTTTCTTTCTGTTTTTGGGCTATACCCGGTAATGTTCAGGGGTTACTCCTGGCTCTGTGCTCAGGAATTTCTCCTGGTGGCCCTCAGGGAACCAGATGGGATGCTGGGGATTGGTCTTGAACCAGCTGCAGTAAGGCCAGCGCTGTCCCCCCTGTACTACAGCTCAGGTGCCCAGTCTAGGGAGGTTTCTAAACCTCTGTGTCATCCCTTCACCACATCAGTGCCTGGCAGAGCCCAGCAGCACCACCTGGTCAGCAGACGGTGACCCCCACCCCCAGCAACTTACACGGAGGGAGGGGTGGGCAGGTTGCACTCCTTGTCCTTGATGCCCGTCAGCCAGTAGGTGGTCTCCGTGCCTCTTCCCTGGGGAGACAAGAAGGCGAGTCACTTCCCAGGGTCCCGACAGAGCTGACCCGGAGACCCAGCAGCCCACTACCCCCGGCTCTCTCACCCACAACACCCCTTCCTGACAGGCTCTGCGTTCATGGCAGACAGACAGACAGATCCTCACTTCCAAGTGCCTTAGAAATTAAGGCTTTAGGGCTGGAGAGATGTTCCATAGGCTGGGCATCTGCTTTGCTGGTCTGATCCTGGTCTGAGCACAGAGCTGGGAGTAGCCCTTGAACACCATAAAAAATGGGCTTTTTTAAATGGGTACAGCCCCATAAAAAAATAACGGGCCGGAGTGATAGCACAGCAGGTAGGGCATTAGCCTTGTATGCAGCTGACCTGTGTTCGATCCCTGGCATCCCATATGGTCCCCTGAGTAACATGGTCACCAGGAGTGATTCCTGAGCACAGAGCCAGGAGTAATCCCTGAGCATCACCAGGAGTGGGCCAAAACAAAACAAAACAAAACAAAACAAAACAAAAGTTTTTAGTTCCAAAAAACTAAGGAACAATAAATAATTCTCCTAATCATAAGACAGGACTTTTTTTCTTCCCCCAAAACAGTTTTCTTTTTTCCTAAGAGACTTTCCAAAACTTCCCGATTACATTGCAAGAATTCTACCTTAAAAGGGAAGGAGGAAAGATGGCAGCCGCGTGGGAGCCTTGTGGAGAGCCAGGTATGAGCCGGGGGTGTTGGGGCGACTAAAATCTCATGGGAAGGGAGGTGTTCCGGCCCGTCCTTCACGCCCTACTGAGGTCACCAGTTGCCCCCCACGAGCGGCTCTCCAGCACGGCCACGACTCCAGAGCACAGAAACCAATCTCTTAATTATCTGACTTTCAGTAGAAATACTTCCAGGGTTAATAAGTAAAACAGCAGAAAGCCAAAACCATGCGGCCACTATCGCAGCCATGCGACATCATTTAATTCTTGAACCCAGCTGTAGAAAGCAAATCATTTCACAATGCTTTTTCAGCATGTCTGATGGGGGGGGGTAAACTCTAAATAATAATGGTGCATCTTTTATCAAAACAATGAATCTAGTCAAAGTAGATAGAGTGTTAACTAGAATTCATCTGCCTCACAGGCATTGGGAGGGGTGGGGGGTGGGGGTTTATTGAGGTTTTTCGTGGTGAAAAATAAGTATTGGTAAAGGGAAATGTGTTTGATATTTGCATGACTGAGACCTAAACCTGAAAGCTTTGTAACTTTTCCCACAGTGATTCAATAAAATAAATAAATTATAAAAAAATAAAAAGGGAAGGAGGCCCAAGAACAGATGACTGGTTAAAGAAACTCTGGTACATTTACACAATGGAGTACTATGTAGCTGTTAGAAAAGACGAAGTCATGAAATTTACATACAAGTGGTACATGGAAAGTATTGTGTTAAGTGAAATGAGTCAGAAAGAAAGGGATAGACATAGAAGATTGCATTCATCTGGGGAACATAAAGTAACAAAATAGGAGACTAACACCTAAGAATGGCCGAGATTAGTACCAGGAATTTTACTCCATGGCTTGGAGGCCAGCCACACATGCTAGGGGAAAAGGGAGCTCAGATAGAGAAGGGAGCACTAAATAAAGGGTGTTGGGAGGATCCTCCCAGGATGGAAGAAGCATGCTGAAAGTAGACTATAGACCAAATACGATTGCCACTCAATGCTTCTCTTGCAAACCACAGGACCCAAAAGGAGAGAGAGAGAACAAAAGGGAATGCCGTGCCACAGAGGCAGGGTGAGATGGGGGGATGGGAGGTGGGAGGGATGCTGGGACCCGTGGTGATGGAGGATGGGCGCTGGTGGAGGGATGGGTACTCGATCATTGTATAACTGAAACCCAAGCACAAACATTTGTAAGTCTATAACTGTACCTCATGGTGTTTCACTAATAAAAAAATTTTTTAAAATTATTTAAAAAAAAGGGGGGGGGGGAGGAGGCCATCGAAGCCAGACTCTGCACCTTTTGAACAGGTTTTGCTATAAAACATTTTTCAGTCTCCCGTCTTAAGAGGGCATACTTGGACAAGCGCGCACATGACAAATATTGTGTGGTGGGCCAGGCCCACCTGGTGCCAGTGAGTGGAATCTCACTGCAGACATTGCGCATGGCTAGAACAGATATTTAAAAGAAAAAAAAATTGGAGGAGAATTATTAATTTAAAAATCACTTGCTGAGGGTGTTTGGAGGATCCTCCCAGGAGGGGAGATGCATGTTGAAAGTAGACTATGGACTGAACATGTTTGCCACTCAATGCCTCTTTTGCAGACCACAACACCCAGGGGGAGAGAGAGAACAAGGGGGAGTGCCCTGCCACAGAGGCAGGGTGGCATGGGGGGGATCAGAGTGGGAGGGATATTATCCATGGTGGTGGAAAATGGGCACTGGTGGAGGGATGGGTATTTGATCGTTGTATAATCGAAACCCAAGCACAAAAAATTGTAAATCTACAACTGTACCTCATGGTGTTTCACTAATAAAAAAATAAATAAAAAATAAAAAATAAATCACTTGCTGCTACATCAGGTCACTGCTCAGACTGTGGGAAGCTCCGACCGCTTCTAGTTTTGTGTGTGCGGGGAGGGTGACGTTCTGTGCAGAAAACGTTCCTATAGGGGATATTGTCTGCCACAGAGGTGGGGGGAAGGTTTGGGAAGGAGGGCGGGGAATACTGGGGACACTGGTGGTGGAAAATGTGCACTGGTGGAGGGGTGGGTGTTCGATCATTGTATGACTGAAACTCAAACATGACAGCTTTGTAACTGCAGCTCATTTTCTTTCAATAAAGAAAATGCTCCTATGAAGACCTCAAAAACTGAGTGGAAAGTACCGTACCAGGGGCTTCCTCTGGCAAGTCCAGACTCCCCAGGATTTAAAGAACCACGCTGAGGTGACAGTCCCCTTGTGGGTAGCCGTGGGCCTGCAAGAGGCTCGGGGAGAGATGGGAGAGGAGGGGCTGTGGTGACCACCGGGGGGTCAGCACAGGAAGCATATATAGCCAGGCCTCTCATTTCAGGTACCCCCCTCCTCCCCGTCACCCCCATGACTATTAAAACACATGCACAGAGGAGAGGACAAAGGAGGCGTGAGGACTTGGTTGCACTGAAGCATCCGGTCAGCCTCTGCTACTAATACTCCTCAGGTGCGGGTCCGAGACGCACACAGGAAGCCCATGAAGCTGGGGTCTCCCAGACGCCTCGGGCAGGGCCCTGGGACACTTCTCCACCTGCACCGTGTTCGCGCCCTGGCCAGGCAGCACAGGGGCGAGTGTCTGGGAACCTCTGAGGTGCGTGCTCTGGTTGGTTCTGAGTTCATGTTTGTCCACTGCATCCTCAGAAATCTTTCACTGATGCTAAATGTTTGGGGAGCCTGGGTACTCAGGGCGGTGCCTCAGGAGGAGGGAACAACCTGATTTAAGCTGTGAGGAGTGAGGGCTGGAGAGCTCAGTGGCCGGCTGAGGGCAGGCTCTGCGTGAGGGAAGTCTGGGCTCCATCCCCACTACCACATGGTCCCCCCCAGTACTGCAACGACTAACCCCACGTACAGAGCCATGAGTAGACCCTGAGTGTTGGATAACACTTTGCTCCTCCAGCAGGGAGCTTAAGGTTTACTGAGCCACTCCTATAATCGAGCAACTGAGGCACAACTAATAAGTCTATGTTGCTTTTCTCTTTCCTTTATGTCATTTGTATGGTTTATTTAGCAATGTCCTTTTTGTATGAACACAGTAAGAGTAAGAGATATTATCAAGCTTAAAGTTTGGTTCTTCAGATGACTGGTTAAAGAAACTTTGGTACATCTACACAATGGAGTACTATGTAGCTCTTAGAAAAGATGAAGTCATGAACTTTACATACAAGTGGTACAATATGGAAAGTATCATGCTAAGTGAAATGAGTCAGAAAGAGAGGGATAGACATAGAAAGATTGCATTCATCTGGGGGATATAAAGTAACAAAATATGAGATTAATACCCAAGAATAGCTGAGATCAGCACCAGGAGAATTACTCCATAACTTAGAGGCCAGCCGGGTATTCTAGGGGAAAGGACAATTCAGATAGAAAGGGCAACACCAAGTGGAGGGTGTTTGTAGGATCCTCCCAGGAGGGGAGATGCAGGTTGAAAGTAGACTGGACTGAACATGTTCACCACTCAATGCCTCTTTTGCTGATCACAACACCCAAAAGGAGAGAGAGAACAAGGGGGAGTGCCCTGCCACAGTGGCAGGGGGGGATGGGGGGATGGGGGGGGAGGGATGTTGTCCTGGTGGTGGAAAGTGGACACTGGTGGAGGGATGGGTATTTGATCGTGGTATGACCGAGATCCAAGCACAAAAATTTGTAAATCTACAACTGTACCTCATGGTGTTTCACTAATAAAAAAAAAAAAAAGTTTGGTTCTTGGGGCTGGAGAGATAGCACAGCGGGTAGGGAGTTTGCACGCAACTGACCCGGGTTTGATTCCCAGCATCCCATATGGTTCCCTGAGCACCGCCAGGAGTAACTACTGAGTGCAGAGCCAGGAGTAACCCCTGTGCATCGCCAGGTGTGACCCCCGCCCCCCCCCCAATAAAAGTTTGGTTCTTCCTGAGGACATCTCACTATATATTCCAGATCATAGTTCTCAGGCCAGGTTAGTCTTCCTAACCCCAGCAGGGTCCTTCTTCAGTTACCTCTTTTGGGTCATGACAGAATTTGTCCATGACTGTGCTCTTCACTTATAGCACTTTGGCCTGGCCCATTTCGATGCCAGGGTAGCTGACAGCTTGCCCTGGGTCCATCAGTCCCTCGTTGGAACATTGCTCTTGGAGTGCTAGGAAGTGAGGGTAACTGAGGCTCAAGTCAAGTAAATACAGATGCCCAGGAGTAAATATTATTTTGGAGTCAACTCCCATGTTACATAGCATAGCATCAATTGTCTTCCTATGTCTATACAAAAAGGACATTACCCAATAAATCATCTACTGTCCACTGTCCACTGTCCTCCTATTGTTCATCGATTTGCTTGAGCGGGCCCAGTAAGGTCTCCATTTTGAGACTTGTTGTTACTGTGTTTGGCATATGGAATACATCACGGGTAGCTTGCCAGGCTCTGCCCTTGGGCGAGATACTCTCAGTAGCTTGCCGGGCTCTCCGAGAGGGGCAGAGGAATCAAACCTGGCTTGGCTGGGCTGGCTACGCGCAAGGCAAATGCCCTACCACTGCGTTATCACTCTAGCCCAATAAACCATACAGATGACATAATCACAATCACAATCACAAATCATCCTGTTATTCGTCGATTGTCTCGAACAGGCCCCAGTAACGTCTCCTTCATCCTAGCCCTGAGATTATATTCAAGGCTCTTTAGGAGAATGAGACCCATCATTGTTACTGGTATTTGGCATATTTGGTAGGCCACGGGGAGTTTGCCAGACTCTGCCCTGTGGGCAGGCTACATTCGGTAGCCTGCCAGTTTGTCCAAAGTAGGAATGATGACATAAAGGAAATGATGGCACAGATGACATAAAGGAAAGAGAAAAGCAATATTGGATTATCAGTTGTGTCTCAATTGCTCTGTTGTAGGAGTGGCTCAATAAATCTTAAGCTCCCTGCGGGAGCAGCAAAGTGTTATCCAACACCTGAGTGCAAAAACAAAATATCACAAAAAGACTCGGGGGGGAGGGGGGAGGGAGGAAGGGTTGTCTGGGGCAGAGTCAGGGATGTGCCTTAGTTGCAGAGCACATGCCCTGCACGCTGCAGGCCTGGAATCTGTCCCACGGAAAATAAATGCAGGGCCATGAGCAGCTTTATTGAGCTGCCAGCCTGAGCCAGCGGCCAGGGAGATGTCCCGGGAGTCCCTCAAGGGATGCTTCAGGCTTCGGCTCCAGAGCTCAAGGTGGCCCCGCACTGCAGGGGTGCTTGCCCGGATCCACCTCTGCTCACTGCTTACCTTTAGGTATGTCTCCCCCCTGACTTCGTACAGGAACTGGCACTCGGTCCTCTTCAGGATGGCAATGGTGGAGCCGCTCACGTGGATCCTTAAGGCTGGAGATGGACAACAGGACAATGGAATCCGTGGGGGAGGTCAGGGAAGGAGGTGACCGAGCGAAGGCGGCGGGGGGCCTGCGGGGGCTCCTTGACCCTGACTATGCCCAGGCTGGGTGCTCTGGAGGGTGCTGTTTGAGGAGCGTGGGGTGTGGAGGCCACGTGATTGAGTCCACTAAAGGTGTCTAGAACACTTAGTAGATGCCCCAACAAGGACACAAGGACACACCCCTTACCAACGTCTCCTCGCTTTTCGCTCCTCCTGTGGGCCTGGGTGTGACTTTCACTATCCTCCCTACTACAGTAGGAGACATTCACGGGGAAACTCTTCCGGGTTCTAAGGAATCACCTGCTTCTCCTGACTGTGGCGTTCCAGTGTTCTCCACAGCTTAGAAAGGACCCTTGGGGCGCCACTCAATGACACAAGCCCTGCTTTTCCTAGAAAGGATGGGGGGGGGGGGGCTGGTGCTGTTGGGGGGTGCTAAGTGCACTGCCCCCCCCCCCCAGTCTCTCTCCAGCTCAGAGCAGCCAAGTCCTCGCCCAGCACTGAACTTGGTTGCAGGTATGAACATCCCTGGAAGGAGCTGAGGTATTGGCAGCAAAGAGAAGGTTTGGGAGAGTTTTGAGGCCTGGCTTTGCTCAGATGTTGTACATCACGAAAGCATGGCCAAGATATTTCCATTTCCATTCTCTGTATCCCTCCCCGAATACCTGCCCTGGGGCCACAGAGGAAAGTAAGAATGAGAGTAACAGCATCCCACAGGCACCATTCATGGAGCAGAGGGTTGAATGATCAATTGTGTCATCTCAGATCCTTCCAGAAACCCTCTGAACAGGACTGGCCTCCGTCCTCCATTCACCTCTCCAGACTTCTGGTACCCAGAGACGGAAGCTGCTTCCAGTTTTCACAGTGACTACACAGCTCTTACTCTGACCTGAGTTCCGAGTTAGGGTTTCAGTCTCCACCTTATTCTTGCCTGTCATTGTGTTTCTCTAGTAAAAAGTAGTATCTAGTGTTGGCTCAAGGACAAAATACACAGAACCGTGATATTTTTGTGGGCCGTACTCCCTGCTACCAAATCATCTGTCAAATAGTTCCCCACCGTTGTCATGGATAGTTACTGGCATCTTCTGTCCCCCACCCCCCAGCTCAGTGCCTCCACCTAGTGGCGAGAATGCAGTATAGGCAGGTGCATAGAAAGAAAAATACAGTACTCTTTCTAAAACAAGTTCCCAGGAAAAGCAAACAAAAGCTTTATATCCAGGGCGGGAGTCAACAGTACGGTGGTGGGTAGGGTGTATGCCTTGCACCTGGCCAAGCCGGGTTCAATGCCTGGGCCCTCATACGGTCCAGCCCACTAGGAGTGATGCCTGAGCTCAGAGCCAGGAGTAAGCCTGGGTGTGGCCCCAAAACTCACCCCACCCTTAAATATTTATATCCGTGAATCAGGGTATAACTATTTAAAACCAAAACCAAAAAACCAGGGTCAGAGCGATTGCGCAACGGGTAAGGCGTTTTCCTTGCATGCATCCCACCGGGGGTTAAATCCCCAGCATCCCATATGGTCCCTGAGCACCACCGAGGGTAATTCCTGAGTGCAGAACCAGGAATGCAGAACCCCTGAGCATCACTGAGTGAGTGTAGCACAAAAAAGAAAGAAAGAAAGAAAGAAAGAAAGAAAGAAAGAAAGAAAGAAAGAAAGAGAAAAAAAGAAAAAAAATACACCGTAACTCCCTAACAAACTGATTTGACCACAGTTTAAAAAGAAAACAAAGCTAAAAACCGATCTTTGCTAAACTCCACAGAGCTCTGGCTAAGCGTGCCTGGATCCCTGCAAATAGGCATGGTCCGGTTCTATCTGCAGAAACCGGCTCAGAGTCCAACGCTAACCGGAAGCGCAACAGGAAGCACGAAGAAGATAAACGTCAGCAAACGGCCCACGGGAGGAGGCACCGCACTGATCCAGGGTCCCAGCCAACCCGAGAGATCCTTCCTCATCCCACACCGCCCGGTCCCCCGATCCTCTCCTGGAAGGTTCTCTGTCTTCCGGGGGACCAGTGCCCCTTCTTACGCAGGCCGGTGGACTCCATCCTGGAGGCCGTGTTGACCGTATCTCCAAACAGACAATAGCGAGGCATCTTAATGCCGACGACTCCAGCAGCGCAGGGACCTGGGGGTGGACAGCATGAAAGGAGGCGGGTTGGGGTGGTGGGCAGCCACTTCTAGGGGTGGTGGCGGTGGTGGTGGTGGTGGTGGTGGTGGTGGTGGTGGTCACACTGCGGAACTGCCCTCTAGGGCGGAGCTGCAGAGTGTGTGGAATGTGGACCCGGAGGTTGGCTGGATGGGAAGAGACCTGGGTGCTGGCACATTGGCCCCAGCATGGAATTGCGCAGAGACCCAGCTGTAGGAGCTAGGGTCTTCCCCGGGAAAATTGGGAAGGAAGGAAAGGGTCGTGGAAGGATAAAGACTGTGGCTGAATCTGCCTGTGGGGCAGGCTTGGGTGTGAGTGAGAAATTTTGAAATAATGGTGGTGGGAAGGTGTAATGGTGGTGGGATTGGTGCTGAAATATTGAACGTAATCAATTATTGCAAGTGTTTGGTCGACTGGCATGTTGTAATGATCTGTAGCAAACAGAAGCCATTGGGCTGCACTAGCACCCGACAAGGACAAATGGAGATGTTACTGGCGCCTGCTCGAGCAAATAGATGAGTAATGGGCTGTCAAGCGATCAAGTGAATCAATTATTGTGAACAACTTTATGAAAATGAATAAAAAGAACCGTGACTGAGCGTTACACGGCTGTAGCTACCATGTACTCCAAGACTGAATAGCAGACCCACGTGATTCTTTCACTTAAATCAGAGAACATTTCCGGAGCCAGGGCCAGCCCATCCTCCCCTGCGTATCCCCCGTGCCTTGTGAAACACAGGACATTCCCCAACAATCAACAGCCAGGCAGGCTAGGCGGGAAGGAGGGCTGCTCCACCGAAGAATTTGTCAGGAGCAGCTGCAGGCAAGGGGCTAAAGAGTTTATTTTATTTGGGGGCTGGAGGGGTAAAGTCACCCCAGATGCAGTGCTCGGGGGCTATTCCCAGTTTGGTGCTCAGGAGGGGCTCTCTGGCAGTGCTCTGGAGACCATGTGGTGCCAGGGATGGAACTGGGGTTAGCCACACACAAGGTGAGTGCCTTAACCTCTGGACTATCTCTCTAGCCCCAAGGGTTAAGGTATTGAAAAGTTAAAGATTAACTCGATGGGCCAGAGAGATAATACAGCAGGGAGGGCACTTACCAGGCACACAGTCAACCCATGTTGATTCCTGGCATCCCATATGGTTCCTCAAGCACTTCCAGGAGCAATTCCTGAGCACAGAGCCAGGAACATCACCAGTGTCATGCCCACACCCCCCCCCACACACACATACACACACACACACTCACACACACAAGATTAACTCCAAAGTAGCAAAATTGAGTTTTATAGAGATGCATTACTGATTTTCTAGTTGGCATGCTGGATTTTCATCTCTGTCCTTCATTTTGTGTGTGTGTGTGGGGGGGGGGAGCTTCCCATGTGGGGCTTGGAGACTTGGCCCCACCCACCCAGTGATTCCAAACTAACCTGGCAGGCCAACCTAGCACTCTGAAGTCTCGAGGATCAATCATTGATGTCTGGGGAGACATGAGCTGCCAGGCTCAAACTGGGACAGCCTATGAGCAAGGCAGGTGTCTCGCCTCATTTATTTCACTGACTTCACTATGTTCCTTTGTGAATTTATCCCACGCGTCTTGCCTCCATCTTGCCTAACACGAACCATAACCTTGACCCTGACCCTAACCCTAACCCTAACCCTAACCCAGACCCTCACCCTAACCCTCACTGTAACCTTGACCCTGATTCTAACCCTAATCCTAACCTAGCCATGATCCTAACCCTAATAATAACCCTGACCCTCACCCTAACCCTAAATATAACCTTGACCCTGACCTAACTGTAACCTTGACCCAACCCTAACACTAACTTTAACCCTAACCCTAACCCTGATACTGACACTAACCCTAACCCTTCCCTAAGCCTCATCCTTCCCAAACCCTAACCCTAACCATAATCTTGACCCTAACTCTAACCCTAACTATAACTTTGACCCTGACCCTAACCATGACCCTGACCCTGACCCTGACCCTAATTCTGACTCTAACCCTAATCCTTCACTAACCCTAACCCTAACCCTAACCCTAACCATAACCTTGTCCCTAACCGTAACCTTGACCCTGACCCTAACCCTAACCCTGACCCTTACCCTAACCATGACTCTGACCCTGACCCTAACCCTAATCCTGACCCTAACTCTAACCCTTCCCCAACCCTAACCCTAACCCTAACCCTGACCCTAACCCTAACCTGTACCGCTCCACTCCTTACCTGAGTGAACGCCAATGCGAATCCACACCGGGAGGCCAGGAAGATGCTCGAGCTGGAAGGTGCCCATGAAGCTGAGAATGTCCAAGGCCATCTTGGCGATGTCTATCGCATGCCGGTTGCCGTTCCTCTTGGGCAAACCACTCGCCACCATGTAGGCATCGCCAATGGTCTCCACCTGGGAAAGACACGGTTTCTCATTAGCAAACCAGCCCCTCCGAAAGATGCAAGAAATTAAGCAGAAGCCCTTCATCATGTTTTAGAGCTCCTGAGAACTTAATCTAAGCAGTGTCCTGGACACTTTCTGGGCCCAGGACCAGACTAACTCTAGCTCCAGGATTTGCAAAGGTCACTGTCACTGTCCTCCCGTTGTTCATCGATTTGCTTGAGTGGGCCCACTAACATTGTGAGACTTGTTGTTACTGTGTTTAGCATATCAAATACGCCATGGGGAGCTTGCCAGGCTCTGCCATAATTGATGATAAAACAATTATACAGCAAAGCTCTCCATGACAATCATCTAGAGGTGGGGACCGTTCTCTAAGTAACTGATGGGGCTGTGCAAATTTAGGAACACTGTTTATTACCAGAAAAATCATAATTTAATTTGGCCACACTTGGCAGTGCTCAGAGGTTACTACTGGTACCCTGTGCTCAGGAATAACACCTGGCAGGGCTTGGGGAACTGTATGCAGTTGACCACGTGCAAGGCAAACACCCTACTAGCCACACTATCTCTATGGCTCCAGGCACATATTTTTTTAGTATTTTTTTGTATTCACTGTATCACTATCCTCCCGTTGTTCATTGATTTACTCAAGCAGGCGCCAGTAATGTCTCTATTTGTCCCAGCCCTGAGAGTTCAGCAGCCTCTCCTTACTCATCTTTCCCAGTGCTGCCGTATTGGAAGCTCCTTCAGGGTCAGGGGAATGAAACTCATTATTGTTACTGTTTTTGGCATATCGAATATGCCACGGGTAGCTTGCCAGGCTCTGCCGTGCATTTGTGGTATATAAAATAACATAATATGAGACTAACACCCAAGGACAGTAGAACACAAGGGCCAAGAAGATTGCTCCATGGTTAAAAGCCTGTCTTGTGAGTTGGGGAAAAGGCAGCTGGGATAGAGAAGGGATCACTAAGTCAATGATGGTTAGAGGGATCACTCGGGATGGGAGATGTATGCTGAAAGTAGATAAAGGACCAAGCATGATGGCCTCTCAGTATTACTAGACAAAAAAGTGTCAGTTTCTTTAAGACATAGCACACATTCGTACTGTTTGTGAGTCTAAACATTTTTTATTCTGTAATAAGAAGTTGATTTATATTAAGGGTATACTATACATGTCATTCAATGAAGGACCTCCCTTTTAGTCTACTTGCAAGATCAAATCCAGAGTTCATTTTTGTTTACCATATTTGTTATTCATATTTGCTGATTTGTTTGGATTTGCTGATTGTCTCTAGAATACATAAGCATTTTATAGCTAGCAGAAACTGTTAGCATGGTTTTCTGACCTATCCAGGGTGAGGCTTGAGTGAGACACCCTTGAAAAAAGAAAGCTATAGGGGAATACTGGACATTACAACAGACATATGCATAACTTCTAAACGGTGTCTAAGGAACAGTGTTTCAGGAGGACCTTTTGTTTCACTACATTAGATTTTATTACCATCACGTTAGATATTATTGCCATCACATTGTAAAGCAAACACCTGACCAAGCTATCTTTTCATGAGGTAGCAGTAGAGAGAGCAAATGAGGATTAGCACAAAGAGCTCCAGTTCTAGAAATACTTGTTCTACATGCTCAGCTGTTTTTCCAACAAAAAAACTGAGAGTTCAGTTGTCTTTTTGCCTGGCACTGGTGTGCACCGGAGTTAGGTGATACAGCTGGTTCTGAACTCACAGGGTTTCGTCCTGGGGTCTGTTCTTAGGGATGCACAATGACGAAAGAGAATGGGCAAGACAATCCCTAACTCTTTGATGATAACCTCATTGTGTTTAGGTTAAGCATCACTCCTCATTTAAAGGTGAGTGGGCAGATGCATTTTCTCTCAGTTGAGACCTGAGAATACACTCCTTATTGAACTTCCTATTGTTTCTTTCTTACTGCTTCTGTGTGTCACGGGGTTGTTTGACCTCTGACCCTCCTTAGTCTTCCACTTCTTGTTTCACTCAGATTCATCCTGTAGTTTATCAGCATTTGGGAGGTCGGACTGGAAGGGAGTCATTCCTGCTCTGTGCTCGGGACCCTCCTATCCCTTCGGCCTGGGAGGTGAATGGGGTACCTTGTACACATCATGGTGGTCGAGAATGTGGTCAAAGCTCTTGTAGATGTCGTTGAGCATGTCCACCACTTCCATGGGGGTGCTGTGCTTGCAGATGGTGGTGAACCCCACAATGTCACTGAAATAGATGGTGACTTCCTCATAGAGTTCAGGCTCCACGATGCCTTTCTCCTTCAGAGATTTCACCACTAGCCTAGAGAAGGAAGGGGGGGAAAAAACACCTTGAACTTCAGTAAACTCTTTGACAATAAATCTTGGAAACAGTAGCAATTATCCACTAGGAATTCTAGAATTTGGGGGTTTTCAGTGAACGGGCAAATAGAAAGATGGAACATATAGATGAACACACATAATATACATGCAAGACGCATTTTATTTTTATTTTAAAAAATATATATTTTACTTTATTTTAGCCACCATGGTTCAGTTTTACAAGATTGTCAGTGGCACTGTGTCATGCAAACAACATTCCAACACCCCTCCCCCACCAGTGTCCATCCCCCTCCACCATTGTCCCCCTCACCATGTCCCCCATCTTTTCTGCCTCACCATCCCTACCCCACTTTCCACATTTCATTGCCCTGGTAATCTCCGTTCTGTAGACCAATGCTTAAGGACCCATTTTTAATTTAATTTATTTATTTTTGCTTTTGGGGTCACACCTTGGGCTGGAGCGACAGCACAGCGATAGGGTGTCTGCCTTGGCGCAGCCAGCCTGGTCGAGCCGGGTTCGATTCCTCCGCCCCTCTCAGAGAGCCCGGAAAGCTACTGAGAATATCTCGCCCGCGCGGCCAAGCCTGGCAAGCTACCTGTGATGTATTCAATATGCCAAACACAGTAACAACAAGTCTCACAATGGATACGTGACTGGGCCTGCTCGAGCAAATCGATGAACAACGGGAGGACAGTGCTACAGTGCTTACAGAGAAGTACACACAACGTCTACACACTTGTTCACTTTCTCCTTCTCTACTGACTGTCAGTTTCTCCCAGATTTCGCTCTCCATTCAGAAGCTAGGGAGGAGAACCTCTTGCACAGACGACTGAATCCCTGTAAGCCAGAGGATTCGACTTTTCCACCACAGCCAGCGGTTACTCCCTGGCATCTTTACCATGGCCTTGTTTATTAGCACGATGGAAGAAAAATGATGCTTCAAAAATGAATTGTGGGGCCGTTGACCACAGATTTGGGCCCTCAGAAGGTAAAACAACTGCCACGTACCCAAGGTCAAATCATGCTACGAGCATAGCTGTCAAGCCGAAGATGCAGAGAAATGTAAGTCATAGGGAAGCAGACGCGGGCAAAGGGACAGATGTGGGAACCCTGGATGCCTGAAACTCGATTGTGAATATCTCAGTCTCAGTGTCAGTCTCAGAGGAAGTGTTGCAGAGCCGTGAGGAGCAGCGCAGACTCGGGGTGGAGGGAGGGGAGAGTCCCCACAGTGCCCACAGGGGCTACGTTGCCTTTCCACTGAGCAGATGGGTCCGGCTGACACGGGCGCCCCCACCCCCGGGGACACTCACCCTGTAAAGGACCTGGGTTTGGTGGGTGACCTCCCTCATCTGTGGTCTCAGTTCCAGAGGGTGACAAGCTCCTGGTCTTGGATCAAATAATAGAGATTGCCCCCTCCTCCCTCCCTTCCCCTTCTGTGGTGTGTCGTGTCACAGGGCACCATGGATGGCACCTCTTTGTGGGGGGAGCAGGGTGGGCCACACCTGGTGGTGCTCAGGAGCCACTCTGGGTGCTTGGGAGAGCACGTAGCAATGCAGGCTAGAGCCCGTGTCATCTCCCCAGCCCTAGGAGGAGATTCTTGACGCTGACCCCCAGCTCCATCAAGGCGGAGCCAACCTCTTCTAATTTGGAAAAAAAAAACCACCAAGGAGCAGTGCCTAGCAGTGTCCAGCAGCTCCAGAGCGCTGAGAAAAGCTTTTATTTCCCTCCCAGACCACGGAGAAACAGAGTAACTCACTCAGCTCAGTGACAAAGGGAAGCAGAGCCCCAGGTCACCATAAGGCACAGCTCTGCTCCACAGCTCCATTCCAGGGGATGACAGAAGGACCCAGCAGGAGCCTCAGCAGGGAGCAGGATAATACACAGCAGCAGTGGAGCCCCAACACTCAGCCCCCCGGGGTGGTCCCCCCCTGACAGGTCAAGGTGCAGACTGGGCCGTTCCAGGGATCAAACTCAGGCCTCGTTGCTCCCCTCTGCCTGTCTCCCAGGGTCTAGGTGTGTCTATTTGAAACCCACTGTATCACTGTATCACTGTCATCCTGTTGTTCATCGATTTCCTCGAGCAGGCACCAGTAATGTCTCCTTCGTCCTAGCCCTGAGATTTTAGAGTGTCACATTCGAGGCTATTTCAGGGTCAGGAGAATGAGACCCATCATTGTTATGGTTTTTGGCACATTTAATACTCCAGACTCTGTCTCCTCCACTGAAACCCACCAGTGAAAAAAGCATGCCAAAGTAACCAGTGCCAGGTCAAGGCAAAGGAAATAGAGGCCTGGAAAATATCTTCTTTGCCCAGGGGCCCTGGATGTGGCCCCGAACTCGGAGGAAAGGCGAGGGAAGGAGGCATGAAGCTGCTGGCACCCTGGACACTGTGGAGGGTGGCTGTGGCTGTGGAGGGTGTGGCCAGGAGCTACAGGACAAGGTGGGATGTGGCCAAGGAGCTATGGACACGGTGGGGGCGTGGCCAAGGAGCTATGGACACGGTGGGGGCGTGGCCAAGGAGCTATGGACACGGTGGGGGCGTGGCCAAGGAGCTATGGACACGGTGGGGGCGTGGCCAAGGAGCTATGGACACGGTGGGGGCGTGGCCAAGGAGCTATGGACACGGTTGGGGCGTGGCCAAGGAGCTATGGACACGGAAGGAGACACATGGTCCTGGAACTACAGGACACAGCGGCGTGGTGCTGTGGCCCCCGGCCCCGGCAGCAGCCTCCTTACCTGGGCAGCAGCATGAAGTTGAGCCTGTCCGCTCTGTCCCTCTCCGCCTTGTACAGCTGCGTCCTTTCCTCCACCAGGTGCTCCAGGTTCCGCGAGTACAGCTGCAGGCGGCGGATCAAGGTGTCCATATAGCTTTCATTTTTTTGGTCATGAAAAAGGCTGCAAATAACCAGAGACACAAAGCTGGGCACATCATTCGGAAAACATGACAACAGTCCAGAGTATGAGTAATGGCACACAAGGGGAACTCAGCCAAAAAAAGAGTGAAAACAACCTACATACACGGTAAGAACTTCTGATGCTGGAAAAATCAACACAGACATGATTTAAAGAGAAAAACAAATGTGAGGAACAAGAATAATCAATGGAATTAGAAGGAGGACAGATACAATATTCCTGGACGGCCAAATGGGCCCCAAACTCACTGAATTCCTGGTCAACAGGGGCGTGGCCATGGAGCTGTGGACACAGCAGAGGAGTGGCCAAGGAGCTATATTTTTTTATATTATAAAAATATATTTGCAAGAATTACTGTATTTGCAAGAATTACTCCTACGCAGGGCAAAGAGATAGTGCAGTGCATAGGGCACTTGCTTTGCATGGAGCTGACCAAGATTTGCTCCCAGGCACCCCGTATGGGTCCCTGAGTCCCTGCCAGAATTGATCCTGGAGTGCAGAGCCAGGAGTAAGCCCTGAACTCTGTTGAGTGTAGTCCAAAAAAAAAAAAAAAAGAATTATCCAAAGAAAAAAGGTAAAAAAATAATTAACATATTAGAATGCAATGGCATATCCCGATGTCATTAATTATCAAGGTAGCTAAGTACATAGAAAAAATGCTTTCTTCCAGGCAGGCTGGGGGGCAGTAGGGTATCTGCGGACATTAGTGGATGAAGCAGACACTGTTGAAAGGATGGGGATCAGAACACTGGGTACCTGAAACTCAATCCAGAATAACTTGGTAACCTTGTAGTTCATAATGATTCAATAAAAGAGAGAAAGAGAGAGGGAGGGGAAGAAAGAGAGAAAGAAAGAAAGGAAGAAAGAAAGAAAGAAAGAAAGGAAAAGTTCCCCTGTTCTCTGAAGAAGAAAATCAAAAAGCAAAAATTACAAAACCTGGTGGTTATTTATTGAAAAGCAGGTATTTTGAGGGGAGAGGCTCTTCCCAGTTTGATGTTCTGGAACACTCCAGGGGGTGGTGGGATCGAACCTGGGCCTCCGGCGTGCAGAGCCCACGCTTAGCCCACCAAACTCTCTCCCACCCTGTTCTCTTGTTTGTGTGTTGCTTATTTTCTTATTCATATTTTCTGAAATAAAGAAAAAATCTTCCTCCCACCCCCCAAAGTACCTCTTAAGGGAACAAGCCAAGAGTATCGAACTAATAAGGCAAAGCTGAGCCTTCTGCTTTCTGCTTTGTCCCTCTCAGATCTCACACCCTCCGGCCAGGATGATTCAGTTAGCCCACGAGATGGGTGGGAGCAGCAAGGCAGCCTCTGTGCAGGGTTCGGTTGGGGGGCCCTGGTGCATCCCCTCGAGCTGTGGTGAGCATGGAGAGAGGGTTCCAGGCATGGGGCACAGCCAGGTCATCACTGCCGTCAGGATTCTGGTGACCGATGCCCACGTTCCGCACCTGATGCCTCACTCCCCCATCTCTGAAGTCCACCCCCACCCACAGGTCTGAACACCGTAGCTCTGGGACTGAGAGGCAGAGATTCTTCCCCTCCTCTCCGGGGATTCTGGGGGACCTCACTACACTGGACTTGGTGGACATGATGGGGAGGGAGGAAGGTAGGTCCCCCCACTTCACATGCTTGGACCCACTGGAGGCTGTTCTGTCCCCCTTAGTTGCCTGGTGAGCTTCCCCGAGCCAGTAGCATGCCAGATGTCCCCCAGCTCGCCAGCTTAGTGGCATCAGGCTCGCCAGGCTGGGATGTGGCTCCCATTAGCCCAAGGGTCTCCATGTGCGGCCACATCTGAGATCCAAGTCAGAGCGAGCTGCCTTCCCGAGCCCCCTCGGTAGCTGCCACACGCTGCCCATCTGCTCTAGTGATGTAGCTGCAGCAGCAGAGAGTGGCTCCCACCCAGCTAGGGGTCAGCCCGGGTGCCTCAGCTTCCTCGTCTCAAGGCGGGGCAAGGGCTGAAGGTGCTGCTGCATCTGTTTTGACCCCACTAATGAACGGACATGGGGCGCCATAAACATTCAGCTGGTGTCCCTAGTCTAGATCCCCTAGATCATTTTAATTCTCACTGGTCACTGCATCGAAACGAAAAGCTGGGAAATATAGAGGAAAGTTGGGTCTATTCATAAAAGAAGCCTTTATGTTTAGTGATCAATTATTGAGGTTACTTTGTGACACCGCAGAAGTTGCCACTGGATGTCATCATAAATCAACACGTGAATAATTGACGTTAAGCTCACCACTGGAAGTCCAACCAAATGGCCACTTTTACCCAATTAAACCTTAAGTAACCACATATCTGGTCTTACATAAAAACTCAAGGGGCTTAATATAATATAATTAATTAGGGCTGGAGTGATAGCACAGTGGTAGGGTGTTTGCCTTGCACACAGCCAACATGGCCGACTCGAGTTCGATTCCTCCGCCCCTCTCGGAGAGCCCGGCAAGCTCCCGAGAGTATCTCGCCCGCACGGCAGAGCCTGGCAAGCTCTCTGTGATGAGCTTGCCAGGCTCTGCCGTGATGTATTCGATATGCCAAACACAGTAACAACAAAGTCTCCAATGGAGACGTTACTGGGCCCGCTCGAGCAAATCGATGAACAATGGGAGGACCGTGATTATTATATAACAATATAATGATATATTATAATATATGGAGCAATAGCACAGCAGGTAGGGCATTTGTCCTGCAAGCAGTTGCCCTTAGCTCCTAGCACCCTGGATGGACCCAGGACAAGCTGTGAGCTACCCTGGCATCGAAATGGGCCAGGCCAAGTGCCATAGTACTTAACTATAAGAGCACAGATATGGACAAATTCTGTCATGATCCAAAGAGAAACAACTGGACAAGGACCCTGCTTAGGGTTAGGAAGGGCTCATCTGGCCTTAGCACTGTAGTCTGGGATCAATAGCGAGATGTCCCCAGGAAAGCCACCCTACAAGCTTAATATATCTCTTACTGTGTCCATACAAAATGGCTAGTATTATTAAGGAGTAGAAGTAGCTGAATGTTTAAATTGTTGTTGGATTGAGGAAAGGAGAAACACACCCCTAGGTGGTATTTCGCCCTTGAGTGGGTCTCCTGACTGCGGGAGATCTTTGACTTCTCTTAGAAGAGCTTCCCTGGAAGGAAGGGCTTTCGTATGTGGATTGTGCTACCTCACCTGGGTGTAGTTGCTAACCCCAATGCTTGATGGTTGGACACTAGACTGAGACTGTGAGACTGGGCGCCCGTTACCCCAAGGGTCTCCATGGAGACCAGCATGGGAGGAGAATGAAATGAGGAGCTTAGTGAGACTGGAACGGGCGCATGGGGAGAATGGAATAAATGGCACCTGATCACCCACCAGTCTGACGACCCTATTCCTTCTTTCATGCTGTTGGTGTCTGTTGGTGGCTATGGCAGGCCAGGGTGGGGAAGAGGCTTGTGGCCACGGAACACTCTTGGAGTGAGAGAGACCGCACCACGTCGCTCTCTCATTTGTTTTGTGATTACACAGTTCAGCTCTTTTTCTGTGTGTTTGGGGGGGGGGGTCAGGTTGGAGGGGATAGACCCTGACCCTATGTTCTCAGGGTTTATTCCTGGCTTTGTGGTCAGGAATCACTCCTGCAGTGCTTGAAGAACTGTACGTAGATACAGTTGGATATTAAATCAGGGTCAGCCACATACAAGGCAAGTAACTTAAACCATATACTATTTCTCCCACCTGAAATATACTTATCTTAAATATCATCCAGATTTTTCACATTCCCATCAACCTGGCACCACACACAGCCCCCCGAGCACCACCATGAGTGATCCCTGAGCACAGAGCCACGAGTAAGTCCTGAACACAGCTGGGTGTGGTCCCAAACCCAAATCCAAAAACCACAAAGAGATTCCCAGGAGCCCTGCTAGAGTTTTAAATCCTTATCACTGAGATGGCCATATTTTTCACAGACATATTTAGGAGTAGAATTTTTTTTGTTAAAAACACTTTTAGTACTTAAAAAGGGGGCTGGAGTGATATCACAGTGGGTAGGGCATTTGCCTTGCACACAGTCAACCTGGGTTTGATTCCCAGCATCCCATATGGTCCCCCGAGCACCACTAGACCTAATTCCTGAGTGCATAACCAGGAGTATCCCCTGGGTGTGACCCAAAAAGCACTGTTGCACAGTTGGACTGTCCTCCCATTGTTCATTGATTTGCTCGAGCGGGCCCAGTAATGTCTTCATTGTGAGATTTGTTTGTATTTGATATGCCAAACACAGTAACAACAAGACCCCCCCAAATAAAGTATTTTAAAAAAAAGTCTTTTGAGTCCAAAACATGGATATTCTTAGTATTAACTTGCAGGGAGAAGGACCAGAATTAATGGTCTTTAGTCAGGCATCTTTGTCCCAAAATATCTGTCAAGTGATCATTTCCTTGAGGAAATAGTGTATTAACTTCCACAGCATTGAAATGTTTTTGAGGTGGGTGTTGTCAATGGCAATCATTTTTGCTAGAACTAGGGATTTCTCATTAAACGAGACATTCTCACTCTTGGTACCACAAATGTCAATGATCATTCACCACATCTGAAATTAGTGAGGAAAAGTAAAATTTCAGCAATACCCAAAGATCTTAGCCAGAGTCGTCTCGATTTTCTTGAAATCAGGTCTCTTCTCCGGATCTTCCTCCCAGCAGTTTTTGACCAGCAGATACACCTGGAAGACAGAAGGACTAAGTGACCATCTTGTTCTCTCCCTGACAGGACTCGTGAGGGCAGAAAGGCTGGAAAGACCTCTGAGTGGGTCTGAGGGACACCACATGCATTCTTCAACAGCACAGAGGTAGAGGACCAAGAGACAGGACTGTGACCATGGTGGCACAGAACGGACAGCTGTCCCATGCCCCATGGGACATAGCTGTTGCCACCAGAAGCTTCTGGAAGAAGCAAAGAGTGGCTTCTCCTTGAGGATCTCTGTCAAGAGCATGACCTTGCGGACAACTTGTCTCCAACGTGTGGTTCTCCAGAAGGGGGAGTGAATTTCTGTGACTGCGTCTCCCACGTGGGAGGTCTTTGCTAGCAGCCCCCCAAGAAAGCCCAGGGGTGAGGGCTCACCTCCAGCTCCTTCTCCTCTGCCGTCTCCAGGATCAGATCTGGGCGGAAGGGCTTCCCTCCGTTGGAATGTTCTACTCTGAAGATCTTCTCTGATGGCAGGAGCATAATTCAAATTCCAAGAAAGAAGGTTAAGTGAGCAGCAGCTGGGGTCTTTACCCAGGGGGAGTGGACAAGCCTAGGCCTGCACCCCAAAGATGGATGGGTGACTGAGCTGTGAAGCGATGGCCCAGAAGGTCACCCTAAGTGAGAACCCGTGGCTGAGGGAGCTTCCTCTGACCCAGACTTGAGCCCCACCTTCCTCATCTCAACGCCCCCACTTCACCCCCATTCAAAGCTGACCCTCCTGAGTGAGCTGCGTGGGTGGAATGAAACGTCTCGTGTGGGGAGTCTCCTAGAACTAGTTGAGAGTGACCCATCCCGATTCTTCCTGGTATTGGAAAGGAAGGGGGAGACGCAGGGAAGATGCCTGAGCAATCCAGACCTCAGAGCGCCCCCACATTCGGGCTGCCCCTGAATCCTTGCCCCTCCCTTGCCGGCCTCCTACCGCTTGGGTCCCGGCAGCTGACGGTGTAGAAGGTCTCGTTGCGCAGGATGATCTCCTGGGCGATGACCCCGTAGCTGTACACGTCACCTTTCTGGGAGGTGCCGGCTTGGCGGAGGTGCTCGGGGGCTGTCCACAGGTCTGTGTGGGGACAGGGGCCAGGCGGAGCTGAGAAGCAGCCACAGACCCCTCCCCACACCTGCCCTTGGGGTAAGGTCCTGGGTTGATGCAAGCCCAGGCTTGGGGTGGGGGGTGTTTGTGCTCGGGTATTGGACGAGGGGCAGAATGCACATGTCCCTTTGAGGTGGGACAGAGTGAGGTCAGCATTGGGGGAGGTTTGGGGGCAATAGTGTCCCTCCAGCTACTGGAGCAGTGCTGGGCTGCTGTAGGGTCAGTTGTAGGATAACATTGGTTTGTCCTTTCTGCCTTGCCACAGAGAGCTTAGGTTTATTGGGTTATTCCCATCACAGTGCTCCCATTTCTCTGTATTTACTTGTAACCTCTTTCTTTGTGCTCTGCTTCCTCAACCAGTCAACCACCTTTATCTCTTACTCAGACTCTGTGAACTTGTAAATATTGCTTTTCTCTTCTCCTTAAGTCCTTTGCATAGTTAATTTAGAGCAATGTCCTTTTGCATAGACACAAGAAGACAATTCATGCTATGCTCTGCAACAAGGGAGTTAATTGACTCCAAAATAATATTTACTCCTGGCCATCCATACTTACTTGACTCAGTTGCCCTTAGTTCCTAGCCCCAAAAGCAGGGCCCTAATGAGGGACTGGATGGACACAGGGCAAGCTGTGAGCTACCCTGGCATCGAAATGGGCCAGGCAAAAGTGCCCTAATACTTAACTATAAGTTAAGAGCATGGTCACAGACACATTCTGTCATAATCCAAAAAGTAACAGCTTGGTTAGGGCCCTGCTAGGGTTAGGAAAGATTAATCTGGCCAGAGAACATGGAATAAATGGAAGCTGATCACCAACCAGCCTGGCCCTTGTTTCTTTCTTTGTCCGCCCACCAATGGCATCAGCCATCTGGGGTCAGGGAAGTGGTCCAAGACCACCGAACACAGGCAGCGAGAAAGAGTTGTGGGGCTTCCCAGCCACCTGGAGATTACACAGTCAGTATTTGTAGGACAGGGTAAGTAAATATTTGTTGGGACAAGCATGATGGAATATATGAGATGGCAGAATTCATGTGACATAGGCCGATGAAAGCCTTTATAAGTACATAACAATAATTATGTTCTATGAATTATTGTGCAATCACGTGAGGCTTCATTTAGGTAGATTTTATATAAGTCTATGAGAAGCTTATATATAATTACATATTAATGTAAACATTTCTATAAATAGTATGTATGCATAAGTCACTGTCACTGTCACGGTCTTCCTGTTGTTCATCGATTTGCTTGAGCGGGCCCAGTAACATCTCCATCGTGAGACTATAAATATTTACTTTTGCTTTTGTTTGGGGGCCACACCCAGCAGTGCTCAGGGCTTACTCCTGGCTCTGCACTGAGGGATCACTCCTCGTGGGCTCAGGGGATTATATGGGAAGTCATGCATCAAACCTGGGTTGGTCGTATGCAAAGCCCTACCCACTGTACTATTGCTCTGGCCCTATATACTTTTTTCCTTTTAACCCACATGGAAGCCAAGAGCCCTCACTGCTGCTGTCACGAGGAGCATGCCGCTACCTCCAAGTCCTCTTGTGTCCATAGATATGATTGTTTTGGTTCCCAGTTTTCTTTTAAAAAATTATGCCTGAGGGGCCGGAAAGATAGTTCTATGGATAGGGCACTATCCTTGCATGTGTTCAGCCCAGGCTTGATCCCCAGCACCCCAGAGGAATGGAGCCCTTCCACGAGTGACCCCTGAGTGCAGATCCAGGAGTAAGTCCTCAGCACTGCAGGGTGCGACCCCCAAACATAACAAACAAACAAAACAAACAAAATGATGCTTGGGGAACTAGAGTGACAGCTCAACAAGTTAAGTTGCTGGCAGCCCGGGTTCCATCCTGGCTACCACTGGGTTTCCTGAGCACTGCCAGTAGCGACGTCTGGAAGTGGGGAATAGCCCCTGAGCACTGTGGGGTGTGACCTTACCCCTGAATTTAGCTCTTTGTCTAGAATTTGGAAGGGCCTCTATTCTGGGGGCACTCTCGAAGCCCCAGTTCTGTCGTTGTGGCCCAGCTCTAGGAAACTGACGGTCCTGGGTCCCATCGTGGGTATTCCAGACATCTGGTGGTGCCAAGCGGGCCAGGCAGTGCTGGGGATGGAACCCAGGGCCTTGAGCATGCAGGCAAGCCTAGCCCTGTGGGCGATTTCTCTGAAGGAAGAGGTTTAGACGAGACTATTTCTAGAATTTCTTACATCTGTAGCCTTGTCTATGTTCCCGCCCATTTTCCCTGGCACACGCCAGTAGATCCCTCACCATTTCCCCTGTGGTGATGGGCAGAGATGTGGGAGATTTGCAGAGGAAACAGGCCCTGAGCACAGTCAGGCTGGGAGCCAAGAGGTAGCAGCCAATGTCTCTGCAGACCAAGTCTGACTTCTAGCGGCATCACCGTTTCCTGAGTCCCTCCCAGTGGACCGAACAAACAGGCAACAAACCAAGCGGGCAGCCAGGCAGGCCTGCACTCACTACCGACCTTTCTTGGGAGGTAAAATGGAATTGCAGCCGAAATCCGTGATCTTCACAACCATCCTGCTGTCTACTACGCAGTTGGTGGACTTCAGGCGGCCGTGGACTTCTGTCTTACTGGAGTGCAGATAGGACATCCCCTGAAGGGACAGAAAAACAGAGACTTAGGACATTCAGCAGCTGCTAATGTTTAAGAAGGAATTGACCTTCTTTGAGCCTCACCCGGCAGAGTCACCTGCCCCCGCGCCTGGCTGTCCTCGCCAGGGCCCCTTGGAGGGGAGCGGGTTGAATTTCCTTCCCCGTCCCGACCAGGGCTCTGGCAGCCAAAGACCTCCAGGACCAGCCACCACCATGCTGAGACCACTCTCCACACGCATGAAGGTACTGGCAGAGGAACAAAGGCATGCGGGCACAGGGCTGAGATCTCCAAGCCTGCTTGGATCGGGGCTGAGCATCCTCCACCCAGATCCTCCAAATTCCAGTAGGCAGGGGTCACACCCACCAACTGGCCCCCTGGCACCGTGTAATCCCATCAACGGCCAAGACCCAGAGACTATAAAACCCAGCTCCCGGAAACATGCGGCCGCATTAGCGGCCATGTGACATCTTATTATCTCATTCCTACTTTGGACAAACTGGCTGGCTACCGAACGTAACCTGCCCACACGGCAGAGTCTGGCAAACTCCCCGTGGCATACCCAATATGCCAAATACCAGTAACAATGATGGGTCTCACTGTCCTAACTCTGAAAGAGCCTTGAATATGGCACTTTCTAAAAAATCTCAGGGCTAGGACAAAGGAGACGTTACTGGGGCCTGCTCGAGGCAATCAACGAATAACAGGATGGTCGTGATCGTGATAGTGAACCTCACCCATGAGGGAACCCCCAGAAAACCCAGGTATGCGGGACTTTGTGACTGAGAAGTCTGGGTTCAACAGAACTGGGAACGGAAATCCTCTGCCCCTATCCCTCCCCCTCCCCCTCTACACCCTATCTCCTGTACCCGTACGGTAGCTACCTCTGGCTGCTGCCAGATAATCTCGGCATCACCCACCATCCAGATTGCATGCCCTTCTCTCCTGGAAGGGAGCAACATGACACCTCCAGCCCCCAAGCCAGCTGTTTCACTCGAGGTGCCCTGGAGGGGTCGGGTGAGAGCCCTCCCAGCCCCCAGGGACCCAGCCTCAGCAGCTGAAAACCTCCAGAACTCAACCACAGCCATGCTCACAGCCGCTCTCCAGATGCTCAGGCCGAGCCTCACACACGAGTGAACCTATTGCTGGATACACCCTACCCACACTCCAAGAGTACTGCATCACATTTGATGGGGTTTAAAGTAGAAGGCAACCAATCTTAGAGGGAAATATATATAAAAGCACACAAGGTTCAGCTTCTAACAACAAGTCAGTGATCTCGTATAGAAGGGCTTAATGGCCCCTGGGTGAAATGTAACAATCCCATCCTCTTTCCTCTAAGGACACTGTTTTGTAGCATTTCCAGCATTTTTTTTTTTGTAACAAACAATGCAAAGTATATTATTTCGGTTCTGCTTGGGGCCAGGGATTGTGGTTCCGGATGGAAACACCTGAAATATGGTAGTGGGAAGGTGCAGTGGTGGTGGGGTTGGTGTTTGAATATTAAATGTAATCAAATATTGTGAACTGTAGCACTATAGCACTGTCCTCCCATTGTTCATCGATTTGCTCAAGCGGGCACCAGTAATGTCTCCATTGTGAGACTTGTTGTTACCGTTTTTGACATATCAAATATGCCACGGGGAGCTTGCCAGGCTCTGCTGTGCAGGCGGGATACTCTCGATAGCTTGCCGGGCTCTCTGAGAGGGGCGGAGGAATCGAACCTGGGTCAACCTTTGCGTGCAAGACAAATGCCCTATTTGCTGTGCGATTGCTCCAGCCCTATGTTGTGAACTACTTTATGAAGTTAAAAAAATATTTAAAAAAAAAGTGACTTTCTGCACCATGGACGCATACAAAGCGACACCATCACATTTTAAACCCAGTTTCATTAATTCCTCTCTCTATGTATAACGTCCTGATCTTGCTTCCTGGCCCCACAGCAAATAAAATAAAAACTAAAAATAGAGGTTGACTGGGAAAGCCTGTAAGCACTTCATCTAGTTTTGAAGTCTGCTTTTAGTGACACAGTGAAAGACAATTTTCTAAACTGTTTTGTTTAGTAGTTATATAAAATAGAAAGGACAAGGTTGATCTATTTCGATGTTTTCCTGCTTACCCCTTCATTGATCATTGACCTTGGTCTCTGGCTCTTCGCCACCTCAATTCAAAAATATGAATAATGAGCTTTTGCCTTTTTTGAAGGATGGCTATGGTAGATTGTTTCCTAAAATGTAACCAGTGGTCATCCAGTTCAAGTGGAATGTTGCAAGCTGGTTTGAAAGGGAAAGTGCCTTTGGGGGTTGGTTCTTTCCACCCGCCTCCCCCGCCCGCTTGGTGTGCTTCCCTCTGGTGGCCAGAACCGTTACTGCAGAAACTAGCTTTTAGCAGGATCACCAGCATGAAAGGTGGCCAAGGGTATGTTTCTCTATCATGTACCAGTTTCCAGATAGACTCTAAGCCACTGTGACTTTGAGCTGGTGTAGAACTGCATCAAAGAGGGTAGGAGAGACAGGACAGGGTTAAGGAGCTTTCGTGGAATACAATAATTCCAGGTTCAATCCCCAAGTACCATGTCCCTGGAACAAAACTGGGAGCGACCTTTGAGCACAGAGCCAGAATTAGCCCCAGAGAATGATTGGATGGGATCTAACTTTCCATTCCCCTAGCCCCCAAAGACTATCTGGTTCTTGGGGCTGACCTTCATTCTTGAAAGAGGGGCTGTTACTCTTCCTCTCGTGCCTGGACTAGAACTGTCCAAATGCATTATTGTCCCTGGTAAAAAGGTACCTGTCATGAGTATTTTCTATTCTTTTTTAAAAAAATATTATTTTCAGGGGCTGGAGCGATAGTATAGCGGATAGGGCATTTGCCTTGCATGCGGCCGACCTGGGTTTGATTCCCAGTATCCCATATGGTCCTCTGAGTACCGCCAGGAGTAATTCCTGAGTGCATGAGCCAGGAGTAACCCGTATACATTGCCAGGTGTGACCCCCAAAGCAAAATATATATATGTTATTTTTAGTTGAATCACATTGAGATACAGTTACAAAGTTGTTCATGATTGGGTTTCAGTCGTATAATGTTCCAACACCTGTCCCTTCACCAGTGTACATTTCCCACCACCAATGTCCCCAGCTTCCCTCCCACCCCCTTCCCCCCATTTTCTATTTTAAAGCTAAGGATCCAGTCATCTTCCTGCAATTTTATCTGATTTTTATTTTAAGCGAATTTAAGAAAATGTAAGTCCTAAGCACAAAGATAGTATCGAAAGGACATGCTTTCTATACTCTGTTTTTTCAACATCTAGAAATGAATAATCTTTTTAAAAAGCCAGTGCAATATTTGACTGGAGTGGCCTCACCTTCAGCACACACAGGATTTCATACCACTCCCTCAGGATCCCTCGGTCACCAGTGCTGTCCTTCTCACCAGCTCGCAGACAGGTGGGGACAGTGACACCAGAGGCTGGACAGCTTGCCAGATGTTCTCACGTGAGTTCATGTGGGGCTTCTGTATCTGACAGTCTCTTACCTTTGCGATGTCATACAAGACGGAGATCTTAAACTCCCAGTCCATGAATGTGCCATCAGGGTAGGAAATCGTGTCATTTAATACCTCCTGCACAGGGGGGGAGGAACGGAAGATGAGTTGCTACAAGGTGAGGCACAGTGGGGACTTTTACAGGGACAGTGATCCTGGGCGAGGTGCATTTCAATGCCCTTTGAGGCAACTGTTGGGGGCTTTGCTGCATCGGGTAGAAGAACACCTTGAAACCAATATCGCCACCATGCCCCCGCCAGACTTCATCATCTTGGTAAGGATCTCACCAAGAAATTAACCTGCTGAAAATTCAGGTATTAGTTATTTGTGACTGAAATCTTCAGTTTTTTTCAGAGTCGGAATGGGCTACCTCCTCCCACCTCTTTGTACTTCTAAAGACCCAGCAGTCACGTCCACACCCCAAAGCTGCCATCAAGTTAAAATATCAACTCCAGATGTTCCTTCAGACAAACATTTTGAACCTTCTGACACCGCAAACTCTACAAAGAAGTAGTAGCACACCAAATAGGAGAAGGCAACCAATCTCATTTAACAAAACATAAACACAGAGGCTTAATCTCTAACAACATCATAGTGATCTCTCTACAAGAATTTAATGAGCTATAACAATTTGTTGGTCCATGCTTGGAAGCCTGCCTCAAGTGCTGGGGGAGAAGGCAATTGGGATAGAGAAGGGACCACTATGACAATGATAATTGGAAATGACCACTCTGGATAAGAACTACTTTCAGTAGGTAAAGGAAAAAACATAATAACTTCTCAGTACCTGTATTGCAAACTATAATGCTCAAAAGGAGAGAGAAAAAAGAAGAAAAGTGTCTGCCATAGAGGCAGGCTGAGGGTGAGCTGGGGGGTGGTGTGAAAGGAAACCGGGGACATTGGTGGTGGTAAATACATATGAGTAGAGGGAATATTGTATAATTGAAACTCATTCATTAACAGTTTTGTAATGGTGTATCTCATGGTTATTCAAAAGGAATTTAATAATAAGAATTAGAAGAAGAGGGAGGAGAAGGAGAAGGAAAGAAGAAGAAGGAGGAGGAGAATGAGGAAGAGGAGGAGAAGGAGGAGGAGGAGGAGAAGGAGGAGGAGGAGGAGGAGGAGGAGGAAGAGGAGGAGGAGGAGGAGGAGAAGGAGGAGAAGGAGAAGGAGGAGAAGAATTTCCCACTGCAGTGAATGAAGAAGTGTCTCTCACAGCAGTGGACAAAGAAGTGTCTCCAACTGCAGCAGACAAAGAAGGAGGAGGAGGAGGAGGAGGAGGAGCAGGAGCAGGAAGGAGGAGTATGAGCAGGAGGAAGAGGAGGAGGAGAAGGAGGAGGAGGAGGAGGAGGAGGGGGAGGGGGAGGAGGAGGAGACAGAAACCTGCATGTACAGTTTGGAAAACCAACACTTTGTGGATTTCTCATTCCTGGATTCCTGGAACCCACAACACAAGACTGCCTGCCTCAACTTGGTGACAGCCAACCGAACCCACCAGGCAGACACAGGATCTGGTTCTGAGCTAACCATGCTTTCCTCAGCTGACCCCAGACCTCCTCGACATCTCTATAAATCACTCTAAAACGCAGGTCATGCGATTTCACTGGCCTCTCAAGAGGATGTGAGATTCACCCGGAGTGTGTTCCTGTCCATAAGGCCCCTTTCAGCCCGATACACCTCTTGGCCTGTTCCTTCCTTTCCGCAGCCCATTCCAAGACCCTCAGGCCTCTCCCTGGGACTGTTTCCAGGCCTGGACATGCTCCAACCTGCCTTGTTTTCTCCTCTAGCGGAGTGTGGCTTGTGAATGTCTGCCTTTCTGCACGGCATGGTGCTCTGGGAGTCCTAGCTTTGGAGAATCCATTTTTCTTTTCTTTATTTTTTAATGCTTGTTTAATATTTTTCATCTTGCCACTTTTTTTTCCCTTTTGCTTTTTTGGGTTACACCCAGTGATGCTCAGGAGTTACTCCTGGTTCTGCACTCAGGAATCACTCCTGGCAGTGCTCGGGGGACCATATGGAATGCTGGGAATCAAACCCGGGTTGGCCGCGTGCGAGGCAAATGCCCTACCCGCTGTGCTATCGCTCCAGCCCCTTATTTTTAATGTGGATTTAACTTTGCTTTATAGCATGGCATGAACAAACAGATGGGGGTGGGACTGACGGTGAGTATTTGAGCAGCAATCAAAGCAGGATTTGATTTAGTTACTCTGTCACTAGCCCCTAAAATAGTCCCAAAGCATTAAAGCCAGACCCGCTTTGTGGACATGGGAACAGAGGCCAGGTATAGATTCCAGCTGGTGCCTGTGCCAGCCTAGAGAAGGCTGGAACCCACAGGAGAAGAGAAACTTCAGCCGAAACAAAAGGCCGGGCTAAGGACCATAAGGAAACCCACCAGCATTCTAAAGCTCTTCCTCTACTGCAGTACTCTAATTAACTCGCGTATACAGAAAACTCGGGGCCAGGAAAATTTGAATAAATCCTTACAGAACTCTTTCCCAAAGCCATTTCAGGTTCTCTGCTCTGGAGAAGCCCACATTCGCTCTGGGACACATTCGTTCATTCATTCATTCATTCTTACTCTCTCTCCCTCCCCTTCCCTTCCTCCCTCTCTCTCCTCTCTCTCTCTTTCTCTCTCTCTTATCCCTCCCTCCTTCACCTTGTAATCTCTATATATAACTGTTTTACTTCTTTTTTTGTAAGGAAGGTGATATACCTAGAAAACCCAGGTTTTTCCAGATTTGAGGGCTGAATAACCTTTCCTGCAAAGAGCAAATCTTTATTTCCTCGCTGAGTTCCACCATTCCCTGAGAAAAGGTGACAATGGGATACATTCCCAGGCTGGGCAGAACACGTGTGATTCAGATGCAGTTGGTGGAGCTGTGTGGGGCTGGTGAGGTCTGCACTGCACAGGTGCTCCGGGCAGACTTTTGCAGCTGTCATGTTTTCTAAGTACTAAACCACTACAGCAACACACTGTGTGCTTCGCATGAGAACCATCATAAACCAATGTTTATACATACTGCGTCAAACTCGCTAGTAAGACTGTATTTCCTTTCATCCCAAAGCACTCACTCTCCACATTTATTCTTTTTTTTTTTACTCAAGTCTATACTGCTAAATAATTTCGGTTTATTTTTGGTATTTTCCTATTTTTATCGAGGCACTGTGACTTACAACAGTGTTAATGATAGAGGTTTGTGCATACAATGTTCTGAGTCCACATTTCCATCAGTGTCAGGTTTTATCTCCAATAATCCATGGACCCTCCTGCCCATTTCCTGTCACCCTTGTTGTGGCAAACTCAGTCCTGTAGGTCAATTCCCAGGGTCTATTGCCTTTATTTTATTTTAGTATTATTATTATTGGGCTGGAGCGATAGCACAGCGGTATGGCGTTCGCCTTACAAGCGTTACAAGTGGCCAACATGGCCGACCAGAGTTCGATTCCTCCGCCCCTCTCAGAGAGCCCGGCAAGCTACCGAGAGTATTCGATATGCCAGACACAGTAACAACAAAGTCTCCAATGGAGACGTTACTGGGCCCGCTCAAGCAAATCGATGATCAACGGGAGGGCCTTTACCTTTACCTTTACCTTATTATTATTATTATTATTATTATTATTTTGATTTTTGGGTCACACTCGGCGATGCACAGGGGTTACTTCTGGTTCCGATGCACTCAGGAATTACTCCTGGTGGTGCTCCGGGGACCATATGGGATGCTGGGAATTGAACCCAGGTCGGCTGCATGCAAGGCAAACGCCCTACCCGCTGTACTATCACTCCAGTCCTGGTCTATTGCCTTTAGCCATTTGTTATTGCCTTGCTGAATTTCATTTCTTTGTATCCCACATAAGAGATCAATCATCTGTATTTATCCCTCTCCTGACTATTCCACCCAGCACCACACCTTTTAGTTCTATTCACATGACAGCACATTGCATGATTTCCTCTTTTTTCTTAGAGCTGAGCAGTATTCCATTGTGCACACACACCATAATTTCTTAATTCACTCATCTGTTCCTGAAGTTTATTACTTTTAAAAAACGTAATCAAAATAATGGACAAGGCTGGAGTAATCTAGCTTGGAAAACACAGATAACTGCCAACTTCTCCTGATAATACTATTTTTATGCATTCATACTTTGGAATTCGGGCTATGTATATTTTCCCATAAAGTGGGCCAGAAATTTGGAAATGTGAGTCCTCACCCGGAGGGATCCTCTCTCACAATATTCGATCACCCCAAATATCATGGATTCCAGCTTCACGGTGCCATAGAACTTGGTTAGGTTGTAGTAGTCCATCTGCAAGAGCTGAGAGAAGGTGTTTATGTATCAAGTGAAACCATCAGAATCAATCAAATTCACTCAGACAGGATAATCAGAACTAATCAGATTTAATCTCAATACGATCAGAACCATTTTCTAGGACAGGCTAATAGACTTCCAGCATACTTTTCACCATCAAACCTCTGGAATAAGTTACAAGCACATCTAGTCATTTCTTGGCCTGGGGACTTCTCTATGGGCACTCACAATATCCACTCCCCCATGGGCCCCTGTGTTTAGAGAAGAAGAAAGAGGGGGTGGGGGGTAGGGGTGACATACCTTGTTCAACTCGATCTTCTGCTTTTCCGTGAAATTGCCGTCTTTGTGCTTGAGGTCCTTCAGGATCACTCTCTGCAGAGATCAGTAAAGGAGACAGGGTGGGGGCATGAGCACTCAAGTGTGTTTCAAAGGACTCCTTTGTGTGCCTGTCTTCCCTCTGGCTTGTGAGCCACCGAGAGCGTGGTGGCGTGATTGATCTATTTCCCTGTGCCTAGTAACTGGAAAAGGTACACTTGGGTTTGGTTTTGAAAGGAAGAAAGAAGGAAGGAAGAAGGGAAGGAAGGAAAGAGGAAAGGAAGGAGGGAAGAAAGGAAGGAAGGAAGGAGGGAGGGAGGGAAGGAAGGAGGGAGGGAGGGAAGGAAAGAAGGAGGGAGGAAAGGAAGGAAGGAAGGAAGGAAGGAAGGAAGGAAGGAAGGAGAAGGGAAGGAGGGAAGAAGGGAAGGAGGGAAGAAGGGAAGGAGAGAAGAAAGGAAGGAGGGAAGGAAGGGAAGGAAGGAGAGTAGGAAGGGAAGGAAGGAGAGTAGAAAGGGAAGGAAGGAGGGAAGGAAGGAGGGACAGAATGAGGGAAGGAAAGAGGAAGGAGGAAAGGAAGAAAGGAGGGAAGGAAGAAGGGAAGGAGAAAATGAGGGAAGGAAGGAAAAAAGGAAGAAAAAAGGGAAAAGGGAGGGAAGGAGGTAAAGAAGGGAAAGAAAGAAGGTAAGGAAGGAAAGAAGGAAGGAAGGAAGGAAGAAAGGGGGAAGGAAGGAAGGAAAGAAGGAAGAAAGGAAGGAAGGAAGGAAGGAAGGAAGGAAGGAAGGAAGGAAGGGTGGGAGGGTGGGAGGGAGGGAAGTAGAAGTAGGGAGCAAGGCGAGAGGCAGGAAGGAGCTCCTCAAGGAAGCAGTCACACCCCCATGCACTACGCCAATCATGCATTCTGGCTGCCTGGACTGTTCTAAATCACTTGTTTCCTTTTCCTTCCCACAACCCAAACAACTGTAAACTCCTGTTTGTCCTCTGCTTGGCCCACAGCACCCTGCAAAAGTTCTGGAACAACCCTAAGCTCAGTGTGGCCCGGCCATCATACTGGCCACTGGGAGCTGGGGCAGTGAGCAGGAAGAGGCCGAGAAGATGCAGAGGGAACGCCCGGAGCTGTGGGGAACCAGTCACCTTCTTGTCATATTTGCACTGCTGAAGTCTCTGGATTGTGTCTCGTCTTTTGTCATCATCAATCTGCCACAAGAAAAGGCAAATTATTCCAGAAGTTTCTAGTCTGGTACCATACCTCTCCCACCACCTTCCTAGGGGTTACTGGCTCTGTTGGGGGCTCCAAGAGAGTGACTTGCAGGGCAACCCCGCCCAGCCCCTGTACTCTCCCTGGCCCTCAATCACCACCTTTTAAAAAAAATTTATTTATTGAATCACCATGAGAGCAGTTACAAAGCATTTGGGTTTAAGTCTCGGTCACACAACGATGAAACTCCCGTCCCTTCACCAGTGCACATTTTCAACCACCAAAAACCCCAGTATACCCCCCATCCCCCCACACACACCTGTGTGGCAGATGATTTCCACATTACTCTCTCTCTCTACTTTGATTACATTCAATATTTCGACACCAGACCCACCATTATTCCATTTGGGATTTTACCCCAACACTCATATCTGCCGAAAAGGCAACATTAGACAATTTGCTTTCTGTAGCTGATAATGAATAGCATATGATGTCGATTTTGGAATTCTGAAATCTTAATAATTAAACCTGGAGGGATTTCTGCCAAAAGCCGCTGGGTTCCAAGATTTGTTTCTGAATCTCTGGGATCATGGATTAAGCAGCTTGTTGAGTAGCGTGAGGGTCCGGTCATGGGCAATGACTAGGGCCCTTGGTGCTGGAGGGGAGTGGAGAGGAGGAAAGGGCCGGCTCCGCCCTCATCCCATGAGGCTCTGCATCATCACCACCTTCTTACTAGGAGCTTAGCTCTGGGTTTCCTCTCATGAATGAAGCCCAACAGACAGGCAGCAATCGATTTACCATCCTTCTCCCTGCCCTCTTCCTGTCAGAAATCTTCCTGTGGGAAATCTGTAGACACTAGCCCTTATGAGGACATGTTGTGTCTTTGAGTCTCAAACTCAAATCCCAAAGAGCAAACGGTAACTGGGCAGGTGAGGACCCAGTCCAGGGATTTTAGGTGGGGGACGGAGCAGCCCCATCAATTTTGGGGTGAGTCCAGAGTGGCTGGATTATCTGGCTTGTCCAAGAATACTTATTGGTGGATTTATCTCTGCCACTGAGGTTTGTTGATAAAAAAATCTTGATTAATTTTAAGATTTTACTATTGAATGTATCTCACATACATGCGCATAAAACATCCCTATTCCTGCAGTTAAAAAAGCAGCTCTCGATGTCGATTCTGCACGTAGAGCAAGCGATTTGCCCTACGTGTGCTACTCACGACAGAAGCCCTTTTTTGATCATTGTATAATTGAAACCCAAGCACAAAAGTGTGTAAGTCTGCAACTGTACCTCATGATGTCTCACTATTAAAAATTAAAAAAAATACAGCTCTCAGGTATCTTGACTTGATATAAAGATAGACAAAAAGTTGAGAAGTACTACAACTTTCACTTTGATTCTCATGAAAATCTGGGCTGTTTTATATTTATTAAACAGCCTCACAGGGAAAACTGGGACTGTGGGGGACAGCAGGTGCTCACACAATGCAGATACATCCTCCCTCCTCCCCTCTTCCCCAGCTCTGAGGCAGCACAAACACGGCAACTTCCGTTCCACAACATCCTGTAAAAATGTCGACTGCCTCGGAAGACCATCTGCTGGTCAGAAGAAAACTTGTCTTCCAGGAAGAATATCAGCAGGTCCCGCCTTACCTTGAGGCTGACAGGGTTGGTCTCATTGGTCTCCAGTGGCAAGATATGCTCAGGAGGAATGTGGGACCACTTTTTCTGCCTGCGTTCATTCTCTCTTCTGTACTTTCTGGAAAAGGGAAAGGAAGCAGCCCACGGCTCTGATGAGTCCTTGCATTGTCCAGCTTGGGAACACAGGAGCCACTAGCCCAGAGCTCGGGGTCGTTCCTCAGGGTGGGGCTCCCTGCTCCCCAGAATGGTGAGGGCTGCCCACTCAGGGCCCATCAGGGGCTCCTGAGAGTCTGATTCATTGCCTAGGGCCTTCATTCACTGTCCCAGAGAAACCCAAGTGGTGATGAGGAAGAGAGAACATGGAAAAAGCAGAGAAAGAGAGCCCTGCAGAGAAAGAGCAGTTGGTCCTACACTACCTGAGGGGACAGACACAGATTCCAACTGGGCCTTTAAAAACAAAACAGAACAGAACAAAACAAAACAAAACAATGTGTTCAAAACTAGACCGGAGCGGGATGCAGGGGCGGGGGCGGGGGGTGGGGGGCTGGAGCAATAGCATAGTGGGTAGGGTGTTTGCCTTACACGCAGCTGACCCGGGGTTTGATTCCCAGCATCCCATATGACCCCCTGATCACCGCCAGGAGAAATTCCTGAGTGCAGAGCCAGGAGTAACCCCCGTGCATTGCCGGGTGTGACCCAAAAAGAAAAAAAAAAAAGACCAAGTGGACTGGAGAGAGCTACAGCAGGTAGGGCTCTTCCCTTACACCCTGTTGTTTGATCCCCCCGAGTATCATGTGGTGCCCTGAGCCTGCCGCAAGTCATCCCTGAATGTGGAGTCAGGAGTAAGCCCTGAGTACTGCCAGGTGTGGCCAAAAACAACAACAACAACAAAAACTCCATAAAACAAAACAAAACAAAACAAAAAACCAACAATGAAAATGAGAAGCACAGATAAGTGACTTCACAGCCCTTAGGATTTAAAATGGCTAAGCTGGATCAGAGTGATAGTACAGCGAATAAGGTGTTTACCTCTCATGTGGCCAACCTGGGCCCCACCTCTGCATCCCATATAGTCCCCTGAGTACCACCAGAAGTAATTTCTGGGTACAGAACCAGGAGTAACCCCTAGGTATCCCTGGGTGTGGCCGAAAAACCAACAAACAAAATCTTAATGGCAAAGTTTTGTAACTGGTTTTCCCCAAATATATAATTCCTCTGGAATTCCTGGAATGTGGGATTGTCACAGGAGTGCAAATATTGTCAAATCGCTCCCCAAAGTGGTGGCCCCAATCCACCCTTTAGGATGAGAATTCTTCTTTTCTCCATATTCCTCAACATGTTGGTGATTGCTGAACTGTTTTACCGTCATTCTGAGCTTTGCTACTGATTACTGGGGAGCTAAATACATTTCTTGCAATATTTTCTAGCTATTTAGAAAAAAATTAGAATTATATAGAATAGTATGTTCCCTAGTTTTGCCCAGATTTCTATCACATCATTTGTGTGTTCCTTAACTTATATAAATTCCTTATATGTTTCTGAAAAATAAGTCATTTTTGCACTGCAAATACCTTCTAGGCTGTTGCTTATTTTAACTCTGTTGTATAGAAAGTTCGGTTTTATTTTCACAATTTTCCTGTATTCTGATTTTTTTCCCCTCTTAACAAATACTTTTCAAAACACCAATTTCTTTTAATTTCTTCTAAATTTCAAATTTCTACCACTGAAATTTTTTATTAAATTTCAAAGACTGATTTTTCACATTGAAGTCCATTCCACATGAAACGAATCTACCTTTGGTCAGATTCAGGAAGAATTTCAGTTTAATTTTTTTCTTGTCCCAACCACATTCCCTGGCTGCCTTGTAATGCCGCCTTAGGCTTTTGTGTATCTGATTTCAGAAACTTCTTTCCACAGAGCATCTGTTTATGCCTCAGTTTACTTTCATTTTGTTATTTGACAAACTCCTTTTTACCTCCTCGAGGTTATTCAGGATGCCTTTCTTCATGTCCCCTAAGCAAAAAATGATCATGATCTTTCTTTCCTTCTAGAGAAAGATATAAAATAGTGACTGGTGCCTATGACCCTAAGGCCCAGAAGCAATTTGTTGTGTAGCTGTGGAAGTTTCCAGGCTCTCATCTTTGTACCCCAGGAGTCTTCTGACTCTAGTTCTTGACAACAAAACCAAGCATCATCCTTACTGATTGGAGGGTACCGTTTTTGCATAGTCTGTTGAAATGGAATATTAAGAATCACAGTCCTGCCATACCCCGCTGTGACATAGCATCACTCTGACCTACATGAAGCCCTATCTGTTCCTTTCATGCTTAGGGGAAAAAAAATGCCTGCTTCCATCTGTGACTGATGATTTACCCTGATGGAGAGCTGAACTGTTTGAAAGTGGGTCCTGAGGGTTAACAGCCACATCTTGTGATTTGTTGGCTCTCCTCTCCCCATAGTAAATAAGTAAACACCACACACTGTAAAACAGTTGGCTCTGGATGGCAGTTTTAGGAACCAATCCCACCTTCAGGTTAAGAGCACTTGCTTTCCTGGAGAAACCCCGATGGACAAAGAGCCAGGATTTCTCATGATGCCAAAGCCCAGGTACAGCCAGGACCCCAGAGGGGGACACAGAGAACCCTGCTGTCTGACTTGGGGAAGAAACAGGGGAGATTCTGATCACCGGGACAGAAAGTGGTGTGTGTTTCACCATGCAGGTTAAGATTGTGGTATTGGCCATTTGCTGCCTGTTCAACCATCTCTGTACTGTGCCGTGTGTCTGGCACTATTCAAGGCACCCAAATCGGTGGGACAGACACAGAGATGATGGTCAGGATACTTGAGTGCTACAATTGTCCCGACCTGCTGCTGTTGACACCAGTTCAACCATCAGGCTTGGAGTGATGATAGCTGAGCTCCCATCACCACCATCACCACCACCACCTCTGGCTAGAATATTACTTGATTCAGGACTTCAAAATTTTTCACAATCTGGGGCTAGAGCAATAATACAGCAGGTATGGTGTCGGCCTTGCTTGCGTCTGACCTGGGTTCAATCCCTGGCACCCCACAGGGTTCCCCAAGCACCACCAGGAGTGATTCCTAAGTGCAGAGTAAGGAAGAAACCCTGGGCATCACTAAATGTGGACCAAACACTAACAGAGAGAGAGAGAGAGAGAAAGAGAGAGAGATTTTTCAAAATGCACCCATCAAACAGCACAGGTGGTTGTTTTCCTTAGAAAACCCCTACCAAAGGGTTGCACCCTTCTGCCCTCCTTATTTGACGCCATAAAGCAGTTCCGATGAGAATGCTAAAGCGAAGTCACTGAATAATAGGTTTTAAAATGATAAAATTGGGAACATAAAATGAGAGAGCTTCGAGACTGAGAGCTCCACCCCACCGCTCTAATATACATACTCAGCAATATGCAGCCCAAGCTTTTGAGGCAGCATCAAAACATCACAATCTTAGCTCTGTATGGATGTCTCCTTCCATGCGGTAGCAGCATTTACAGGGAGCAGACCCCTCTTCCCTGCCCTCCACCCCTCCCTGAATGCGGTGGTACCCCAGCACCAGGAGAGCGATGAGCAGGAGCAAGACCACGGTTCCCGTGAGGGTGATGACGGCGATCAACAGGACTTGAGGGCCTGTGGTACACACAACAGCGAGAAGAGCAACAGTGAGAATTTGGGGAAAGAGACTAAAGGAATTTCAAAGATTCCGATATAATTGGAGGGTGAGAAAAGGGGAAATCTTTCATTAATCTCTTCATTGGTAACATGGGCCCTGGGGAGTGGGAGGAAAACTGTGTGGAAAGGACCCAAGGAATGACTTAATTTCAACTTTCCTAGTGTGGATATCTTGCTTCTTTTGGGTATTAATCACGGTTTCAGAACAATTCCTAGCACACAAATATTATGGCTGATGGAATCCAATTGTGTAAAACCAATGTATATAAAAAGGATTAAAAGAGGAGGAAAAAGACAGCTATTTTTTCCCCCAGGTTTTTTGTTCTTGTTGTTCCTGTTTATTTTGTTTTTATTTTGGGGGCCACACCTGCTAATGCTCAGGACTTATTACTGACTGTGCTCAGGGATCACTCATGGTGGTGCTCAGGGAATCATATGCAGTGTAGGTATCAAACTCAGGTTGGCTGCATGCAAGGCAAATATACCTTGTCGGCTATTGTATTTCTCCAACCCCAGTTTCTCCCTGAGTTTTATTAGGATATTATTCACATAATAGGCCTCTACGAATTTATGTGAGTCTATGAATTTATGTGACTGTGAAACAATGACCTCACTAAATTTGGCTAACAGCCATTTTCTCAGGCAGATATAAAAATATATATGTAATTTTTTAAAACGATGAGCACACTTAGGAATTACTCACTATGCAGCCATCTTAGCGCTAGTCCTTGTTCTCTGCTTTACACCCTAGGACTTATCTTATGACTGGAGGTTTGTGTGTTTCGATCACCTTTGTCCAATTTCTCATAATGGGCAACTATAAATCTGACATGAGTTGTGTTTTAGAGTTCACATATGCCAGATTGTACAATATTTGTCTTTCTCTGCCTTTTCACTTGGTACAATGCCCTCAGGATCTATATGCATCATCAGAAATGTCGGAATTTCCAGGATGTATCCACCCCTCTCATAGCTTCTATATCCATTCATCCATGGATGGAAATTTCGCTTGTCTCCATATCTCGGCTGCTGTATGCTGGGATGTTGTGTATATGGAGACAGAAATTTTTTTTCTTTTTCTAAATAATTTTTTTTTGGAATCACTGTGAAATAGACCCTTACAAAGCTATTCATAATTAAGTTTTAGTCATACAGTGTTCCAACAACCATCCCTCTACCAGTGTACATTTCTAGCACCAGTGTCCCAGGTTCTCTCTTATGATCCTCACCCCCGCACCCCTCTGCGTACCTCTATGGCAAGCACATTTATTCTCTCTCTCTCTCTCTCTCTCTCTCTCTTCCCCCCCCCTTTTGAGGATTGTGGTTTGCAATACAGATATGGAAAGGTTATCAGCAATATCCCTTTACCTACTTTTAGTTCTTGTCCAGTGTGATCATTTTCAGCTATTATTGTCATACTGGTCCCTTCTCTATCTTACCTTCTCTCTGCCCCCCACACACTTGTGGTTGATTCCAACCATTGATCCATCCTTCTACCCTCTGTTTTCTTTGACCGTGGATCTTAGTCACAGAAATCATTTTGATATGGTGTTTCTGTTGGTTTGTTTCCTGCTGATAGATCCCCCAGCACTGAAATTCCTGAACTCTAGGACGGTTCTATTTCTGTGTTTTTGAAGGCTCTCCTTATTGTCCGTATCAGGCTACATTCCCACTAACTGCGCTCTAGGCAGCCCCTTCTCCGCCTTCCCCCACACCAGCATTTGTTATTATTTGTCTTTGTGGTGGTGACCCTTCCAATAGGCATTACGTGATATCTCACGGTGATTGCAATTCTGGCAAAAATGTAGCCTTGATTTTATTGTCGTAAGGTGTAAATGAAGTAATAAGATGCCCCTGTGCTCATTTTGCCAAGCATCAAATCTAATTTTCTGTAGATTAATTTATGGCAAAGGATATTTGGATATATAATAAAGATATAGATAGTTAAATCTGAAAGGGAGTGTTTTCAATGGTTAAACAAAATGCAGCATTTTTGTTTGTTTGGTTTTTAGACCACACCTGGCAGTGCTCAGGGCTTACTCCTGGCTCAGTGCTCAGGGATCACTCCTGGTAGTACTCAGGGAACCGTATGGGAATTGAACCTGGGTTGGCTACATGCAAGGCATGTAATATCACTCTGGCCCCAGAATGCAGCGTTTTACAGGGAAAAATCCATATTTTTTCCTGAATCAAAAACACCTAGGAAATCCAATCTAGACAATAAACAAAACAAAAAACACAGGCTAATTGATTTAACCATAGAAATTACTCTCCATATCAGAAAAACAGTTTCAGGGAACAAACATTAGGATACCTTACCCCGGCCTGGAATATCATCTGGAAGTTTACTGTTCTTCCAAGTGAATGTGGGGTTTGAATCTATTGGTTCAGTATTATTTTCCTTAAATTTCAACAGACGCTTATACTGTGCATGAAAAAGAAGAAAGGTAAACAGAGTCAACTTTGGGTGAGGCGAGCCTGCTCAGTGATGCGGTAAGAGCACTTCTCAGTAACACAGTCCTTGTAGACGATGGCAAACATGCTAGATGCACAGTCGGAGCCTGCTTTTTGAGCTCTAAATAGGCACATTTGTTTTCTGTTTTCTCTACTACCAAGTACAAAACCAATCATCCCCACCCAACATGGGTGTTTACAGAATTAGTTCATTCTTTCCTTTTACAAATTTCCTCTCCCTCCCCCGGCCAAAAAGAAAGCCACTTCTAGTCACATGACAAGTTCCAATGTTTTTCATATACTCTTTTTTTTGGGGGGGGGGCACACCTGGCGATGCACAGGGGTTACTCCTGGCTCTGCACTCAGGGATTACCCCTGGAGGTGCTCAGGGGACCATAGGGGATGCTGGGAATCGAACCTGGGTCGGCCGCGTGCAAGGCAAATGCCCTACTCGCTGTGCTATCACCCCAGCCCTCATATACTCTTATTTTTTCTTTTTTTTGGGTCACACCTGGCGATGCACAGGGGTTACTCCTGGCTCTGCACTCAGGGATTACCCCTGGCGGTGCTCAGGGGACCAAATGGGATGCTAGGAACCGAACCCCGGGTCAGCTGTGTGCAAGGCAAACACCCTACCTGCTGTGCTATCGCTCCAGCCCCGAATACTCTTAAATTACTATAAGAAATGATGTTTTGAGAAAATTCCTGGTTTAGTTTGTTTTAGTACCACATCTGAGTGTTCAGGCCTTACTCCAAGCTCTATGCTCAGTGATCACTCCTGGTGGGGTTCGAGGAACCATAGAAGGTGCCAGAGATCAAAGTTGGGCCTGCCATAGGCAAGGCAAGTGCCCTGCCTGCTTTACTATCTCTTCAGCCCTTTTGGTCTAATTTTAAACACGTTGGGGGATTCTGAAATAATTGTACATTTCTTAAATTTTACCAATTACATACTTTTTCAATCCTATCCATGCCTCTGCTCTAGTTTGCTTTTATGTACATGTCAGAAATGTTTCTAAGGTAATAAATTTTTTTTCAAGTACTCTGCCAATGGGTTTATTAATAGATACTTAAAAGACTCTGATCTATTGAATAAGTTTTAAGATACACGAAAAAGAGACATCTGAAAAATGAACATCCTTCTGAGGTTTTTTTTTTTTTTTAAATTTTTTGATTCCTGGGTCAAAACTGGTGGTGCTCAGGGACTATTCCTGACTCTATGCTCAGAAAGTCACTTCCCTAGCAGTGGTTGGGGATCATATGTCGTGCCAGGTATTGAACTGTCTGACCATATGCAAGGCAAATACCTTAAAACCTATTCTACCTCTTTGGCCCAACATCCTTCTAAATTCACTGTTTCCTCCAAATATTCTAGACAGAAGTTTTATATTCTCCAAAATTTACTCTCAACTTGGGAGCTGAATCTGTGAGATGCATATATTGAGAGGACCTGATGTATTAGGATTTAGGATATTGAATCTCTACTGAGATGGGCCCCAGGGAGAGGCATTTTACCACAAGCCCTGTGTTTGGAAGCTTATTACCTGTTTTCCTATATGTAGATGTTATAGAATAGGATCAGTGGCATTTTTGAAAAATGTCATTAGATTTCCCTTCTGAGTGAGGAAAGGTAATACCTGAAATAGCATTTTAATTTTTATTTGTTTGGTTTTTGGGCTACAGCCAGCAGTGCTCAGGGCTCGCTCCTGGCTCTACGATCAGGGGTCACTCCTGGCAAGCTCAGGAGATCATAAGGAGTGCCAGGGATTGAACTCAGGTTGGCCACATGCAAGGCAAATGCCCTCCTTGCTGTATGATCTCATGCTTAATGCTGAGGTGCAGTTGTGAGGCTGATATGGCGGCTCACACAGGTGTTATCTCCCTCTCGCCATCAGAAGTACAAGTACAGCAAAGATCCCATGGTTATCTCTGCAGTTACTGCTGGTAACTGGAGCACAGAGGGGAGGTGGTTCTGAAATATTCCCAGCCAGTGTCAGTTCAACAAAGCTTCACATGAAAGGATCAATACAGTAACTGAAACTTTTCTGAAATGCTACCCCAGAATTTCTGGGAACAGCTTTCCCCATCTGAGGCCCTTTCTTTTTGGAATGGGGGTGGGGGAATGTGTCAGTCTCTCAAGAAGAGCCAAGGAGGCCCAGGGAACACTCCCAGCAATTCTCAGTGAACCAGGCAGGTAGTTCAGTCCAAGGTTTGAGAATAGTGGATATACAATCAACCCAGGACCAGCTGCACTGCAGGTCAGGTGAGCACTTGAGCCCCTGTGTTGTGTCTCCGTCTCCACCCCTGACTCTCCCAGAGCTTTAGATTTCTGTAAGTGCAGATCTCCGTATTTCTCAGTGCAGTTCCCCTCTACAAAATTAGATCAGTGTAGTCACTCAGGTACCTAACTTGAGAATATTGTGGTGTTTGCAATGGGAACTTACATAAAACAATGGATACAGTTTTCTTAGACTAGTGGTTATGTTAGGACTCAACCTCAGTTTTTTTTTTTAAAGCTTCCTACTGACTGTCAAGTTGGACAGAATAGTGGTTTTGGCATTTGTGATGGGCACAACTTTGGTGACACAAAGATAGATGTCTTATTTTTAAATTTTAATGCTGATCAGTCACCCGCCACATGCCAGAGAAGCTAAACTCTGCACACGCAGAGAGAGAGAGAGAAAGAGAGAGAGACAGACAGACAGACAGACACAGAGAAAGAGAGACAGAGAGAGACAGAGAGAGACTCACTGTTTTCCACTATGTGTGATAAGAAGAAAAGACAAGCAGTATGAGACACCACCTAACCTGGTCCAGCTGTTTTTTTGGGTAACTAGTGAGAACAGCCAGTGTTTCACTGACAACTTTCACCGTGATAGAGAATAGGAACTAACTTCTCGTGGTACCACCCTTCAATAGTCTGATCTTTACAAGGAATATTGCTCCACCGTGGCGCATCTCTGTGAGTTGGAGATAAAACTGACTCCCAGGCTCTGAACCTAACACCCCGTTTCTTCACTGTACTTGCCTTCAACCTTAGCCCCTGTCACCCAGTCACTTGACCCCGAGTTTCCAAGGACTCAGACATACTTCTTTGGTATCCGGAGAGATGTACAGCAGCTCCATAGTGTTGTCAATGTCTCCACAGTCGTCCAAGGTCACATTGCCCACATACCCTATGGCAGAGTCAGAAAGACAGTCACCTTCCACCTGAGTGAAAGATCTGTTGGCACAAGTATGCATAAGTTCTAATTGCTCTATTTCTATTGAGAAAACTGTTGACTTTAATGATCTACCGGAGGGCATCTGGTCTGTTTCTGGGCTCTGAAATCTCTGAAGACAGTTCTTTCACACACACACACACACACACACCCATCCACACATACTCTTTGTTTCCCAAAGTCCTATTTCTAAATAATGGTCCTATTTCTAAAGTTTTCTCTAAAATGTGTTAAATCTTGTTTGCTGCGAAGAGACCAGTACCTTGAAAAGTGAGGTTTTTGAAAGCATGAGCAAACTCAAGGGTGGTAAGACTTTTTCCGCTCTCAATAAATGTCTTGAGAAGGTGTCCGAAGAGCAAGACCCCATTTAGGTAGGCCAGAGTAAAAGCATCTGTGTCCTGAAAGAGAAAGAACATTCTTAAAGGGGGTCCCACAATGGAGATTCAAGGTTATTATTTAGCCTGGAGTCAAACATTTTAGAGGGGCAGCAAGGTAACTAGGAAAGTAAAGCAGTACTATAGTAGAGATGGTGCCAAAGGAGACTTGGGGGAAGTGCTTCCTGAGGCCAGCATGTCTGTCCTCACAATTAAGCCTTCTCTTGGCATCAACAGAGTACACGGAATTTGGGGCCTACTTTAAGGTGATGGAGCTTTCTTTCCATGATGACAAAAACATATCAATTCAACCAGGAAAGAGAGCAGGCAGCATTTTTATTCTTGACAGGTTTTATGTGAAAATATTGCTGATTTTCAATATCATGTTCTTGCTAAAGAGAAAGAGAGAATAATTCTCTCCCGATGACTTCTACACATACACACACTGCCTAGAATTAAAAAGGCCCTCCTGTTGATCGTCGATTTGCTCGAGTGGGCCCAGTAACGTCTCCATTGGAGACTTTGTTGTTACTGTGTTTGGCATATCGAATGCTCTCGGTAGCTTGCCGGGCTCTCCGAGAGGGGCAGAGGAATTGAACTCAGGTCGGCCATGTTGGCCGCTTTTAAGGCGAACGCCCTACTGCTGTGCTATCGCTCCAGCCTAGAATTAAAGTCTCCAAAAACTTGTGTGTAGAAGTCATGGGGAGAGAATTATTCTCTCATCCTTTAGTATATATTTATTATCTATATATAGTCTCTCTATATGTAGTCTCTCTATATGTATACACATAGAGTATCTACCCACAGTCTCTCTCTGTATATGTAAACACACACATATATATACATCATTTATGTATACGTTATTTATAAATATGTATATCATATCTTACTGATGATGAGTTCTTAGCTGTAGAGTCCTTTGAGGTGTAAGTTTCAGGAGGTAGAGTCAGGACAAGAACGTGATTCATATAGCTAGGGGCTGTGACGTTTTTCTGGAAGTAATGGTCACTGTAAGAAAAAGTTCAAGTTCATGTAAGATTGGGCTCCTCCAAAGCACAAGATGTTCTACTACCATTTACAAAAACATCAGTCTCAAAGATAGATATTAATATTTTTCCCAATAACCTAAAATCCTTCCCATTTCCCCCAGATAATATTGTTTTCGTCTGCACTTGCAAAGTGGAATAAGAGAAGGGAGGCCATAGAGGTTAGTATTCATACTTGGTTGGACCAGAGAGATAGTACAGCAGGTAAGGCACCTGCCTTGCATGTGGCCAACCCAGGTTCAATCCCCAGCATCCCATATGGTTCCCTGAGCACCACTAGGAATGATTCCTCAGTGCAGAGTCAGGAGAAAACCCTGAGCATTGCCAGGCATGACACAAAAACAAAAACAAAATATTCATGTATGGTAAGCAGTTCAGGATAAGATACTTCTGTGAGGGAGTTTTGGGGTGGGGTGGGGAAGTATCTGGACATGTGATTTTATTTTGTTATTAATGACCCTGTGTTTACAAATGGAAGCTTCTTTTCCTTAAGCACTCATAACAATTTAGAGACATTAGAAATTTTATGAGTTAAATTTATCTTTCAGATGATAGGACAAAAACATCGGAAAAAATAAACACTTTCTCGACTACTACAAGCTTCTACACATTAGTTTACTGGTCCTTGTATCCTCAGCTCCTAGATGATAGCTGACACACTGTGGACAGTGCGACAGAGCACGTGGTTTCTAAGCTTCCCTGTTAATCTGAAAGTTCTAAGAGACAAAATAAATTAGTTTGAACCACTATAGTAAATATAAGCGTCATTAAAAAATTAAGTCGCAGGCAGATACATCAATGTCCTTAGGAGCACGTTGAACATGTCACCTAGACTACCACAGGGAATCCTAAAGCACTGCTATATGAAGCCCTCCAGTTGACACGGGGCAGGGGGGGTTATTGACATCATATTCAATCTCAGGATTCTAAGGAACATCCAGGTCAAAGAACCAGAATTATCAATAATTAGCATTTGCACTCATGTCTAGTTAGTTTCCAATGAACCGTGTGATCTTCCCTCCAAACAACCCCAAACACAAACTATTTCTGTTCTTCAGAAATGTTGACCAAGGGAAACCAAGACTTTGGCAGCTGGCTGAGAATTTGCTAAAAGTGAAGTTCCATCGGGTGGGTTGTACTGAGGACACCCTTCAGGCACAGAGCATCTACTGGAAGACCATCAGTGTGGAGGTAGGTATGAAAACTTTGCCCTTTTCCCTGTACTTCTGCAGCAAAAATGCTGTGAATGGACTTATCCTCATAACCATCCAAAAGGTCTCTGCTTCCTATACTTTACTTCCTGTAGGATCGTAAAAAGTCCATTTAGTGTGAGTGAAATGATGGGTAAAGATGGAAGATCTGGTCAGATGAGCAAAGCTGCAGCATTTGACTGATAGAGGAAGAAGCATGGCACTCACGACTCCTTGAAGGACAGTCTCAAAACTTCTTTCAGTTTGATAGTAAGATCTCTGATCACCTTCTATGGTAAGAAGTCAAAAGAGGGGACAGTTTCTAGAAGTTTCTCTCTTTAATTCCAGGGAAGGGCAGCGGAAAAGAGCAACACCCAGCAAAAATTCATTGTGTGAATCAGACTTGGAAGTTTCAAGTTGGTTTCATGCAGTGTGACACTTCCGCTTACAAAAAGTGGCCAACGGGGGAAAAAAATCTAGCACCAAAGTCATTAGCAGCAGAAAGCCCAGATAGCCTTTTTCTCATAAATGATGCATTAGTTTTTGCAGTTGATTAATCACCGTCTGGGAATAGAAAATCAAATTGGAGACCAGTACTCTGTTAACAGAACAGGCCTATAAGCGAATGAATACATTAGTTCTATGGTATTTTCATAAAACATTTAAATTTAGACATGAGAATGGTGTACAGGTGTACATCTTTGCTAAGACTACAGTTAATTGAATAAGAATAATATGTAAAGAAGGAATGAAAGTTCAGTTAAAATATTATCAACACACTACATACTATAAAGGTCATACAAAGCAAGAAAAGAGTGAGTTTTTTTTTGTTTTGTTTTTTGTATTTTTGCTTTTGGGGTCACACCCGGCGATGTTCAGGGGTTACTCCTGGCTCTGCACTCAGAATTACTGGCTCTGGAAGTGCTAGGTGGACCAAATGGGATTCTGGGAATCAAACCCGGGTTGGCCGTGTGCAAGGCGAATGCCCTACCCGCTGTACTTTTGCTCCAGCCCCCAAAAGAGTGTGTTTTTAAAACTTCTTTGGGTCTTTCTTTTCTAGGAGAAAATTCTTGCAAATATTTTACCTACTTGAATAGGTCCACCAGAATAATGACAATGTCTTCATCCACTGTACCGTTACCTCGGAGGGAGCCAATGGTTTCTGGTTTACCACATACAATAACCACTGGAGAAGAGAGCAAAACAGGAGGAAAATAAACGATTATCCACAGGCAGACACACAGAGAAACAGGGTCTTGATTTGAACCCCAATGTGTCCATCCAACATTCATTATGTAAGAATAACACTAACTCCTCAAATTGTCACCCAACATAATCCCCCAGAACTTTGGGAGGGTCTGCTGGTGGTAATTTGAGGAATTGGTGTTAATACCTTTATTTGTATTTTGTATCATAGAATCAGAAGACAGTGGTACAGAACCTTACAAAGAATCATCTAGCCAATTTCCGTAAGATTATAGAGTTTAAAAGGATGAAGTCCCATGATCTTAAGCAATGATGGTAGATGGAGAGATAGCACTAACCATTCAAGTTGAAAAGTCCTGGTTCAGTGCTTATTCCACTAAACCACTATGCAGTAGCACTGCATTGTAGCACTGTCTTCCTGTTGTTCATCAATTCTCTTGAGCAGGCACCAGCAACGTCTCCATTGTGAGACTTGTTGTTACTGTTTTTGGCATATCGAATATGCCACAGGTAGCTTGCCAGGTTTGCTGTGTGGGCGGAACTCTCTCTCAGTAGCTTGCCAGGCTCTCCGAGAGGGGTGGGGAAATCGAACTCAGGTCGGCTTCGTGCAAGGCAAACGCCCTACCAGCTATGCTATTGCTCTGGCCCCCCACTATGCAGTAGTAATAAATATTACTACCACAGATAGGCAAAGTGCACCCACAGCGGTTGTAAAACACCTAGTGAATGTTAACATGGAGATCTATGGGGTCTCCTAGGCAACTTCCTACGACTTTGCTTACAGCTTCTTAGAGATTCAGTTATAACAATTCTGTGATAGAGTAGATCTGAATCTCTGAGCCCTAGGATTCATGGAAACCATATTTTTATCAGCTCAGTGACTTTATGAGTAAGAGAAGTTAGGGGAGGGTCCTTCATTAGATCTTTTCATATACTGTTTTGTGCAGTTGAACTATAAACTCTTTAGGAATATGTATAACTTTGTGCATCTTTTCCCCCCAGATCTTGGTCAGGTTTTTGCACGTGCTAGGTTTTCTTGATGACTAATGGCTAATTGGTCTTGATGACTAACGGGCTGGAGCGATAGCACAGCGGTAGGGTGTTTGCCTTGCACGCAGCCAACATGGCCGACCCGAGTTCGATTCCTCCGCCCCTCTCGGAGAGCCCAGCAAGCTACCGAGAGTATCTCGCCCGCACGGCAGAGCCTGGCAAGCTACCTGTGATGTATTCGATATGCCAAACACAGTAACAACAAAGTCTCCAAAGAAGTCGTTACTGGGCCCGCTCGAGCAAATTGATGAACAACGGGAGGACAGTGACAGTGAATGGCTAATAACGATAAGTGATGCTGCTTCTAGTGAAACAGGTAAATCCTGCCAATCATCTCCCCTTGTAGAAATTCCCTACAGTCAACTCCATGGCTCCTGAAATAGTCTAACTTGTAGAGAGAGATCTGTGGGAAGTGAAACAAATCACCTAAGAACTTAGTGGGGATAATTTTATCGCGTTAGTTGTTCACATTCTGCCTGTAATGGGAGAGGACATCATACCACAGGTATCACTGAGATGTAGGAAAAGTGAGACCATCTTCACTTACCTGGTGATTTAGCCTGAGGCTTGAAAGCAATAAGTATACCCTGCAGGGACCAGTGTTCAGGGGGTGAGAGTTGCTCACAAATCCAATAACATTGAGTTGAAGTTAGCTTAAAAAGCAGTTTAATGAGAGTGGTTCAAGGATCTGTTCTGTTTAGTCAGGCTAGACTTTAGACTTTAGCAGCTTCATATCCTTCCGACTGTTAATTAGTACTGTATTACTCAACACTACTTTCCTGGCTTTGCTCGGATGGATAAGGATTTAATCATCAGAAGAGGGAAAAAAATGATGTAAAGAGCCCCTTACTGAAATTTACATTTGGAGGTTTTACCTATTTCATGCAAACTCTAAAGTATTTTTTAGGGGCTGGAGCAATAGCACAGCGGGTAGGGCATTTGCCTTGCATGCGGCTGACCTGGGTTCGATTCCCAGCATCCCATATGGTCCCCTGAGTACTGCCAGGGGTAATTCCTGAGTGCAGAACCAGGAGTAGACCCTGTGCATTGCCAGGTGTGACCCAAAAAGAAAAAAAAAGAAAGAATAAAGTATTTTTTAAAAGTTTCTTAAAGTTTTATTTATGGCAGGGAACTTATGCTGATAACCACAATAAGATCTAAGTACAAAATAAAATTTAATGCAGAGTTGAAACCTTACTAAACAAAAATAACCATTGTATATGTTGTATTAATTGATTGAATATATTTACATAGGCTAAAATCATAGCACTGTAGCACTGTCCTCCCGTTGTTTATTGATTTGCTCTAGAGGGCACCAGTAACGTCTCCATTATGAGACTTGTTACTGTTTTTGGCATATCGAATACATTATAGGGAGCTTGCCAGGCTCTGCCGTGCAGGCGGGATACTCTCGGTAGCTTGCCGGGCTCTCCAAGAGGGGCAGAGGAATTGAACCTGAGTGGGCCACTGTGTAAACACACAAAAAATAAAAGGCCGGCAGTCAGGCCGTTTCCCCACTCCACGGAGGTCGATGGCGATGGTCAGGCGAAGGAAGGAAACGAGGCCAAGCTGGTTGGTCTTAGCCGCCGTTTATTACATGGAAGAAATGTATGTCATGGAGGCCTCAGAAATCCTCAAGCACCTGCACCTTTGTTCTCTCCCCTTCGGTCCTCAGCCCCATCTTCCCAGGTTCTCTGATGCACGTGTCCCCCCTAGAGAGCCCTGAAATCTCCCTTATATAGATCATAGTACCTCTAAAGGGTGCAATATAGTGATGTCATCAAAAGGAGTTACAGAAAGAACATTGAGGCGGCAAAACATACATTGTTTCCTTACATCCACATTGTTTCCTTACATCGCAGGCCAGTAATACTGGCCTCTGGAAAGAAGATACAAAGCCAAGCTGAAACCTTTCACAAGCACTTTCACAAACTGCAAGCACCTTGATTTGCATCCCAAAGACCAGCCTGGCTACCACCTGAGATCTGCATATCTAAGACCAGCCAGGGTTCTGAGAGAAAGGGGAAACTGTCTCAATATACTGAAATCATTCACTGAAGACAGTTTGAAGGGGAGAAAGCAGTCTCATCCAAGCTAGTCAGGACACACGGGAAAACTGCTTCTAGGACGTGTTTCTCCTCTCCTTGTCCAACCAACATATAAGCATACATAATATTAATCATTTTGTATGGACACAGTAAGAAATACTTTGGGCTTATAGAATTGCTCTCCTAGGGCCATCTCGATCTCAGGCTGCAGTGCTCAGGCCAGGTATCTTTCTTATTCCTAGCAGCAGGGCCCTAGTCTCATCGTTACTATTGGATCATGACATCATTTGCCTATGATCAACCTCTTAACTTATAGGTAAGAATCGTGGTACCTTGGCCTGGCCCATCGCGATGCCAGGGTAGCACATAATTTACAGGCTTGCCCTGGTTCCATCCAGTCCCACGTCGGGACCCTGCCCTTGGAGTGCTAGGAAGTGAGGGCAACTGAGGCTTAAGTTGAGAAGGCAGATGCCCAGGAGTGAATAATATTTAAAGCCAATCAATTCCTAAGTTATGGAGCATATTAATTTAATTGTCTTCCTGTATCTATACAAAAGGACATTGCATTAAAGTAAACTGCTCAAAAGACATAAGGAGAGGAGAAAGGCAATATTAACTTACAGTACAGCTTCAGTGTCTAAGAAGGATGAGACCTTACAAATTGGTTGGGGAAGAGAGCATAGAAGTGGTTACAAAGTAATGGGAGTGACTCGGGAGCACTGTGATGGGTACAATTTGATAAACCTAAGCTCCGTGTACTCCAACAGGCCACGTGCAAGGCAAATGCCCTACCTGCTGTGCTATCGCTCTGGCTAAAATCATATAGCATCAAAATCATGACAAATTGAATTTTACTGATTTGTTTTATGTTCATTCTATTTGCCATTCTTTTACATTCTCTTCAAGCAAGCAATATGAAATAAATTTGTTATATGCTTGCTAAAGGGGCAGACTGGGGGGTAGGGGGAACCTGGGGAGACACTGGTGGTGGCATTGGTGTGGGAACATTGTGTGTCTGAAACAATTCTATCTTGAAAAACTTTGTTAATCATGGTGTATTAACCAAGTAAATAAATTTAGAATAAGAAAGTCAGAGATGGGGCCGGAAAGATAGCACAGTGGGTAGGGCGTTTGCCTTGCATGCGGCCGACCTGGGTTCGATTCCCAGCATCCCATATGGTCCTCTGAGCACCGCCAGGGGTAATTCCTGAGTGCAGAGCCAGGAGTAACTCCTGTGCATTGCCGGGTGTGACCCAAAAAGCAAAAAAAAAAAAAAAAAAAGGAAAGAAAGAAAGCCAGAGATACCTGTATTATCTTCAAATAGTTAATGTCTTCATTTATTGGAAAAAATTAACATGCATGTATGCAATACACATAGTGATGTAGTATTTTCAATATCACTATAGAATAATTTTGTGGGAAAAAAAGAAGTAAGAATCTCTCCCCATATACAAAATTGGTAGAAATGATGGTGATAGTTCAGTGCTGGTCTTTGTTAAAATGACTAAAAGGTGATATTTAAGTGGGCAAAAAAAATTATCTTCATATCTACTTACCATTGCTTTTCCTGGTCTTATCTTTTAATATATTCTGAAAATTTTCAGGTCGTCTCAACAGTTCCTTGAATTCAAGTTCCTGAGAAAAATAGGAAACGCCAGCCTCTAGAGCATTGAGATACCTCGAAAAGGAAAGAGAGATTCTTAAGAAAGCAGCTTAATTTCTGTGTGGGATTCCACACTATTTGGTCCTTTCCTTACAGATGTGTTCTGGGACTTGTTCATCTGAAATTCATTTCATTTCTTTCTTTTTTATTTTGTGGGCAGGGGGTGAGGAGTTGAGAGGGCATATCAGCTGGTGCTCAAAGATTACTCCTGGTTCTGTGTTCAGGGATCACTCTGGCCCAGGTTCAGGGGGTTCTGGGGTTCTAGGAGTCGAAACCAGTTCCATCATGTGCAAGTCAAGTGCTCTACCAGCTGGACTATCTCTCCAGCCCCCTGAAACTCTTTTCTGCTAACAGATAAAGCACAACTCCATCCTTCCTGTTAGTGGACCATCTAAGTTAAAGTGCAGGAGAACCTATGGGGGATATTCCCACGTATACAAAAAACTGACATGTGCCTGGTACCCTTCCAAGGGCATCCTGCTACTTGCAAAAGGAAGTTTCAACTCTGCTGCATTAAACCCGCTCTTGAGTACAGATAAGTTGAAACCATTGAGTCAACAGTTGCCAAAATTCAGAGATGAATGAATTTTCCTCCCGAGGTGGCCTGAGTTTACCCCCAAAGTCTCTCGGAGAAGACCTGAGGGTTCACTTTTGCAGTTCCCTAGGGGTGTGTCCCCGGTGGGGGCTCTGACTTAATTGGCACAAAAACATCCTCAGGGGGAGAAAGAGCACAGAACTGAGCCAGAGCCTGGTGATGGGGACATAACGCAACCAGTAAATCCTCTGGGCCACTTGTTCTAGGTGGCTAAACTGTGCCGCTTTTGTTTTAGCACTGGCACCCTCCAGCCTGTCCTCTGTTCCGGCCCCTGCCCCCCCCCCCCCCCCCCCCGCCCGAGTTCTCTGGATTCTATCCTCCTCTCTCACACCTGTGTTGGGCACCCAGAGGAATGATTTCTAACTGACTGTAGGCAGAGATGGAACAGACTGCGGATGGTGCACAAAAATTTCTTATCTTTTCTTATCAGAGAATCCTTGTTCTCTTTTTCCCAGAGGGTTGACTGAGAGGAACCAATAAAACTAAAGTGAAAGTACTTGGCAAAGGAGGAACTGTGGCAGATACCATGTAGACTGATTATATTTGTGACGCTGTTTCCTTTGCCCTCCCCCCCTCCCCCATTTCCTTGGCTGAAAGTGAGGCTCATAGGGCCAGAGAGATAATTCAGGGCTAAGGCACCTGCCTTGCATGCTTTATACACCACCATCCCTCGTCCAGTTCCCAGCACCAGCTACAGTGCCCTGTCTACAGAGCCAGGAATGGACACTCAAAGCTCTGAACACCCTCCCCAAAAGTGGGCTTGTGTCTATTCCCAGCAATCTTACAGAATGAGGTGCATCTACTAAGAGCTATGGGGTCTGCCTCGAGCCTATGCCTTCTCTCTGTCGTGGCAAGAGACAGAAAATATTAACGAGCCCACCTACCAGAAGCAGTCCTCAGATTCAGTATTGTCAGTATTCTTGTAAAGGTACGCAGTTTTCCACGCAGAGGTTTTGAACGGCAAGCCTTGGTGCTTCCAGAAGTTCACCAAGAAGTACATCAGCTTCCTAGCTGGAGTCATAAGCCTGCTTAATGTCTCTTTGTAGTCACAGGATAATCCAAAACTTCCAGCCGAAATCATGGAATAGTTCTTTATTATCTCGGTGTCAAGGCTATTCCAAAAGGGGAGCGAGAAAGTGTCATTAGGATTAACTTAAATCACAAAGTAAGTCTAGCATGAGGAGGAAATTTGAGCAAATGTCTGCCTTAGACACGTGTCTCTCTGACACGTTTTGAAGCACTTCTGGAGCACGTGCCAGATTCTGAGAACAATCGGGAATCTTCTCCCTATGGCTGTTCGTTCAACTTGGCCTACAGTGAATTTGTCCTATGGATGGTCACAATCTCTAGGCTGGAACCCAGGCACTTTGGGGTGCAGGGCTAAGAAAACAGAGGCAAGGGGCCCACAATTCCCTACAATGGCGCCCTGGCCATGGCCCCTCCATGCACCACCCAATTTCTTTCTTTCTTTCTTTCTTTCTTTCTTTCTTTCTTTCTTTCTTTCTTTCTTACCATTCAGGTTCGCCTGCCTTTATTATTTATTTATTTGTTTATTTTTAAATAATCCCTGTGAGATACAGTTACAGACTTACAAACTTCTGTGATTACGTTTCAGCCAAAATGATCGAGCACCCATCCCTCCACCAGTGCCCATTCTCTACCAACAATGTTCCCCAGTATCCCTCCCATCACCCCCACCCTCTGTGGCAGACACATTCCCTTCTCTCTCTCTCTGCTTTTTTTTTTTTTTTTTTTTGGTCACACCTGCCGATGCACAGGGGTTCCTCCTGGCTCTGCCCTCAGGAATTACTCCTGGCGGTGCTCAGAGGACCATATGGGATGCTGGGACTCAAACCAGGGTCGGCCATGTGCATGGCAAATGCCCTACCCACTGTGCTATTTCTCCAGCCCCTCTCTCCTTTTCATAACCCAATTTCTGCAGTGAGGACAAGGACAGTGCTCTATGCCCAGCTCCTTTGGCATCCCTTTGGGCCTTATTTCAGGACTTAGAAAAAAGCCCTCTGTGCACTTTTCCTCAGCTACCTTTGAAATAAACATCAGGTGAGGATTTCAGAGTTTTTCTCTCCCTGATAAGCACACGAACATTCTTGTAGTATCTTAAGCACATTAAGCTTTGGGCCAGAGCAATAGTACGTTTGCCTTCCACACAGCTGAACTGGGTTCAATTCTCAGCGTCTCATATGGTCCCCTGAGCACCGCCAGGAGTGATTTCTGAGTGCAAAGCCAGGAATAACCTCTGGGCATTGTTAGGTGTGACCCAAAAAGAAAAAAAAATTCCCCAAACCCTCATTAAGCTTTGTCATCTGGGACATAATAGATACTGGGCTGATGTTCTTTTTCTTTATCTCGGTCTAGATGTTTTTTAGCTATCCATCAGGTTCTGGATTAAATGTATGTGGGGGGGAGGGAGGGAGGAGGGAGGCAGGGAGAGAGACTTGGATTGTTTTTGTTTGCTTTGCAATGCCAGAGATTGAGCCAAGACATCATACATGAAAGGTAAATGCTCTACCACTGAGCTCCACCCCCAGTCTTTTCACTACCTTCTGCCCCCAAGTTCTCCTCCCTTCCATCCTTTCTCTTCAGGTCAGGTGACCTTAGTTATATTATCAATATTCTCTGGTTTAGCTTTTTAGTTTTGTCTTTTCATCAACTTCATATCCTTCTACTGCATATAGAGGGGAGCTCATTCAATAATGATCTTCTTCCTCTTGAATTATTTTATTTCACATATTTCTCTTCCACTTTGCTGATGACATTGTTTTAATAACACCAAACATTAGCCAAGCGGCACAAATGCTGGCCGACTTTGACCGTGAGTGTGGAAAGGTCGGACTACAACTGAATCTTATGAAGACAACGTTTATGAGAAACAGCCTTGTCCCTGACGCTCCATTTGCTCTCAACGGAACAACAATCTCCAAATGCAACAGTTATGTGTACCTAGGTCGAGAAGTCAACATGACAAATGACCTGGCACCCGAGCTGCGCAGGAGGAAGAGAGCGGCTTGGAATGCCTTCAAGAGGGTCGAAGAAATAGCTAAGAGGATGAAGAACCTCCGGCTCCGGGCACATCTCTTTGATTCCACTGTTCTTCCTGCATTAACATATGCCTCAGAGACCTGGGCCCTACGCAAACAAGATGAGAACGCCATTCAGGTCTCCCAAAGAAGAATAGAAAGAGCTATGCTTGGAATATCACGTTTCACTCAAATGAGAGAAAGAATCCGGAGTTCTGACATCCGTCGACGATCAAGAATCAGGGATGCTGTCTCATTTGCCAAGGTGTCGAAAATCAGATGGGCTGGTCACGTAATGAGATTTAAAGACGACCGCTGGACTAGAGCTGTTACCGACTGGATTCCATGGGATGTCAAAAGACGGCGTGGCCACCCACCTACCAGATGGTCAGACTTCTTCATCAAGATCATGAATGATCGGTTTGAGGCTCTTCGTGTTCCTAAATCGAACAGACGCCATTGGGCTACACTAGCACGCGACAGGGACATATGGAGACGTTACTGGCGCCCACTCGAGCAAATCGACGATTAACGGGAAGTCAAGTGATCAAGTGATATTTCTCTTCAGCTTCCTTAAGTTTTTAGTTGAAAACTTCATCTTTTAAATGGATTGAGTAGTATTCCACTGTATAAAATGCTCCCTTTTCCTTGTTCAGCTATCTACCTATCTACGGATGGACACTTGAGTTGCTTCCGTGTGGTGGTGTCTGTGAATAGCATTGTGGTAAGTGTAGGGGTGGATATCACACCTCTGGGCAGTGGGAAGCATACTTGTCCATGTTCACGGCTTATTATTTGCTCTGCACTCACAACTGATCCCTAGAAGTTCTCAGGGGACAATGTACGGTTCAGGAATAGATCTAGTATCGGCCACATGAGAGACAAGTGCATTAACCCCTGTTTTGTACTCAGATAAGATATCAGCAGTGAGCTGACTACTGGGTCCTCCGCTGGGTCCTCTGTGTTTACATACTTGAGCAAACATTGTGCTTCCTATAAGGGCGGCACCAACATTCCCACCAACAGTGCACAAAGGTTTCTTCTTTTCCACAGATCTTGATATTGCTGCTTCTGATGGGAAACTTTCTCACAGGGGAGATGTATCATCTTTCTGTTCTCTGAATTTCCATTTCCCTGATGAGGGAGTGGCTCTAAATTCTTTCTTTCCTGTGACTCTCAACCCTCTGTATGTCTTTTCTGGAGAAGAATTGACTTAAATCTTCTGTTCATAATTTTATTATATAGGATTAAATACCTATATATCCATCCAGAAAACTTCCCTTGCTGCCCAAGCCCAGGATTGAGTACTGGGGGGAGTATCTCCTTAATCTGTCTCTATTATATTACAAGTCGGTGGAGACTGGAATCCTGTCTGGTTTCTGAGCCCTCACCTCCACTCTCCTTGGCTCCTCTGGAGGGACTTGATAAAGGAAGGAAGCATCATTTCCATCTCCAGGGCTCCACTGAAAGGCATCCCTGATGCCCTCCCCGCACCTCAAGCTCCCATGTTTACACTCACAGTTCTCTTGGACATTTTCCCTCTCAATAGTGCTCCTTATCTCCATTACTCCCCTCCCCTCCTCCATTTTGTTTAGTTTTGAGATCTGAAAGCCTTTGGACTACTTTCTACCCCTTACTTTAATTGGTTCTCAGACACCATTGAGTCCACCTTTATTACCTTTAAAACCCATTCTCTAGGGACCAGAGCAATAGTACAGCAGGTAAGGTGTTTGCTCTGCATGCAGCTAACCAGGGTTCAATTTCTGGCATCCCATTTGGTCCCCTGAGCACCATCAGGAGTGATTCCTGAGTGCTGAGCCAGGAATAACCCCTGAGCATCACTGTGTGTGACCCAAAAAGCAAAAATAAATAAATAAATAAATAAATAAAAAACAAAATAAAAAATTCCAAAACAACCATTCTCCTTGCATGCCTGTAAAATCTTAGCACATTGAAGGTTGTGTGTTCGCGGGCTCTCTGGACAACTCTATCTCACCACCCGGATTCGGTGCTCTTGAACCGCTGTGTGTGGCCTGGATTGGGATGGCTGTTGGCCAAGGGCAGACGAAGGAAGAAAAGAGGGCCAGGCTGGTCGATATCAATTGTAGATTATTCCAATCCTCTTCATTCCTGTTTCTCCTCTGCCTCCTTCTCTCCTGGGCCCCAGTCTGGAACCTTTCTCCTTCTGGCTCTGATTCTGTATCTCTGGAGCCCTAGCTCTCTCACTTCTGACTTTCCCTCTCCTTACATTCTTAGTTTATATAGCAATCACATAGGGTGGTGACACAAAGATGGGTTGAACATTAACAAATCAACAAAGAGAGGTAAGACCACTCCTTCAGGAGATTAACTCAAGGATAAAATCTCATGTAAAGAGATTACTCCAGATTACTAGGAGATCCGCTCAAGGGTGGGATCCTAACAAGGGTGTGTTTTTTCCTCAGCTAGTAATCTACTTAAATAGTTGTAGTAGATCTACTTCTAATATTTCTACAATGTAATTCTGTGTGAGCACAGTAAGAGATATAAACTACAGTTTGGTTCTTTCTAAGAACATCTCACTATACATTCCGCAGTCCTCAGTCCAGGTTAGTCTTCCTAGCCCCAGCAGGAATGGGCTCATTGTTACTTATTTTTGGATCATGACAGCATTTGTCCATGATCATGCCCTCAACTTATAGTTGAGTATCGTGGTGCTTTGGCCTGGCCCATTTCGATGCCAGGGTAGCTCACAGCTTGCCCTGGGTTCATTCAGTCCCTCGTTGGGTCCCTGATTTGGGGGTACTAGGAACTAAGGGCAACTGAGTCAAGAAAACAGATACCCAGGAGTAAATATTATTTGGAGTCAATCAACTCACAAGTTACAAAGCACAATATTAACTGTCTTCCTGTGTCCATACAGAAAGGACATTGCTTACAATACAAGTTCAGTGTCCCTAGAAGGATCTGATCTTATAAGCTAACAGAATCTGATTAGGGAGAAAAGGTGTTTAACTGGCTGCAAAGGAGAGCATAGAGACATAGGTACAAATGAATAAAAGAGTGGGAGTCACTCGGAGTACTGGGATGGGTGTGACCCAATAAACCTAAGCTACCTGAGGAAGGACAAAACAGTGTTATCCTACACATGCCCATTCAGAGCTTCTCTCCTTCTCTCCCCCGATACCCCCAATGTGCCTGCCCCCCCTCCATACACATGCCTTCCTCCTTTCCATACACCCATACACACCCACATCCAGGTATCAGACTCCTGTGGGCTCCCATAGTAAGTTTTGAAGCATTGTTGTCAGGCATTCCTTTTTTTTTTTTTTTGGCTTTTTGGGTCACATCTGGCAATGCACAGGGATTACTCCTGGCTCTGCACTCAGGAGTTACTCCTGGCGGTGCTCAAGGGACTGTATGGGATGCTGGGAATCGAGCCTGAGTCGGCTGTGTGCAAGGCAAATGCCCTACCTACTATGCTATCTCTCCAGCTCCTGTTGCCAGACATTCTTATCACTGTCAAGGATTTTCCCCAAATTTGGGCTGCTTCTCAAGGCCTTCCATCAGAAGCAAACCTAGTGAGGTACACCTCCCCTGGCCTGAAACTCATGCCCTCCCAAACAGCCCTTTATCTTTATGGTTTTTGACTCCTTCACACAGCTCTTGTGCTTCAGTTAATTCAGGTTTTCCAGAATTTTCTACCCTCTCTGTCCTCTTCATTGTGACATCTGTTTCTCCCTCTGCCTGACTGGGATAATTATCCCCTCCTCCATCTCTACCCATCATAGTTTCACCCACTCTTCCACACACCTCAAACTGTCTCCTTCGCCATGTCTCTTCCCTCTTAAAAAAATAACTCTGCCGGTCAGATGCCAGAATTTTATTCTGCGCAGACACAACCCTTTGTGGGTACTGTACTGAAACCATGTCACTCTGCCATGTGGAAATCACCAGTCTCCTGGGCAGTGGCTGTGTTTTTTTATGCATTCCTCTGACAAAATTTAAAAGCTTCAGGGAGCTGGAGCATTAGTATAGCATGGAGGGAATGGGTTTGATCCCCAGCATCCCATATGGCCCCTGAACACTGCCAGGAGTGATTCCTGAGTGCAGAACTAGGAGTAATCCCTGAGCATCACCCGGTGCGACCAAAAAAAGAAAAAAATATTTAAGGTTACTTGTACAACGAGGGACCTCAAAATGGTAATTCAATTTTCCTAACCCTTTTTTGGGGGACTTGCTTTAGAGACTAACTTTCTGATTATTTGTTCATTAGATTTTATGTTTGTTTCAACGTCACATGCTGTGGTGCTCAGAGGCTACACCATGCTCCATCCAGGATCATTAGTAGTGGTGCTTGGGGGACCATATGTGGTGCCAGAATTCAAACCAGGACTGTGTGCTGGGCACGCACCTTAACCTTTGAACTCTCTGACCCCTAGAGTCTAACTTGTGTGACTGGTTATATCCCCAACCTGTGTAGCATAACTAAATGCACATACAGATTGTGAAAAACCTGTTCTAAAATAAATGTGTGGTTTATTGTCAGTAAACATTGGATGTGTATACTATTTATACACCCAGCGCCTTGTCAAACTTTCTAGGATGAATAGGGGTTGTGAGGGGAAGATGTTTAAGGATCAGTATCCATAAGTGGTCAGATAATAAAGTCATGGGGAAAGTAAGCATGGAGGGCTCCATTTGTATGCATTTTGATAAAGAAGATGCATGAGACTGACACCCAAGGATAGTGGACTCAAGGGTCAGAAAGATTGCTCCATAGTTGGAAGTCTGCCTCCTTAGCTGGGGGAGAAGGCAGCTGGGATAGAGAAGAGATCACTAAATCAATGATGGTTGGAGGAATCATTCAGAATGGGAGATGTGTGCTGAAAGTAAATAAAGGACCAAATGTGATAGCCTCTCAGTAACTGTATTGCAAACCACAATGCCCAAAAGTAGAGAGAGATTATGGGAGAAATTGTCTGCCATGGAGGCAGGGGGAGGGGTGGGAGGGCAAAGGAGGAACATTGGGTACATTGGTGGTAGAGAATGTGCACTGGTGGAGGGATGGGTGTTTGATAATTGTATTACTGAAATTCAAACATGAAAGTTTTATAACTATTTCACCGTGATTCAATACATAAATAAATAAATAAAATATTTTTATAGTTTTTCTTTGTAAAAAAAATACGAAGAAGATGGACTCAAAATGAGCTTCCATTTAGGACCTGGCCATGGAGCTTAGTGGCAGACTCCTACTGTGCAGGCGGGAAGTTGTGAGCTTGATCCTCGGGACCATCCCCCCAGCTGACTGTGGTGTCAGCAACTGTTGGGATAACCACAGCAATAAGAAAGTGTGCCACCTCCAGCACCCCACAAAGAGGTATCTGAGCCCTGGTCATCCCAACAACAACAAAGGAAAAGGAAGCAAGCGGGAAATAAAAATGAAAACAGTGCAGTGAATGTGTGCTTTTTTCAAAAGTGGCCTGTGCATGTGAGTCTGTTGGTACAGCTGGGTGGGAGGGATCAGAAGTTGACTTTGCAACACAGCTTTGGAGATCTACTATATGTCAAGCAAAATCTACCCGCAAGGGGTCCTGCACCTATGTAGGCAAAGGATGACCCCTGACTCTGGGGAAAACTAAACTGGTTAAAGAAAGGCCGGTGAGAAAGGCTTTTGGGAAGGTGTGATTGATTCATCAAAAGGGCTTTGTGATGACCAGGAAATGAATGGGAGGGATGAGAATAACTTTTCCACTCTCACATAAATGTTTTCATTCTCAAATACACAGGACATTTTAACTAAGCTCCAAGGGTGCTGTGCCAGGGAAATTATTGTGTGCTCTCCGTAATCTTGAACTGCCCAGAAGATGAGTCCCTGGGCATTTTCTCTGTGTTCTCTATGAGGGACAGAAAAAAAAATGCACTCAGCACCTTTTCTCTGTGTTCTCTATGAGGGACAGAAAAAAAAATGCACTCAGCACCTAACACTGCCGCATCCTCCAGCTTCCTGCCCTTCCCAGACATCTGGTAAACCTCTTTATACACCACACTATGCTACACCATTCAGCTCACTGTCTCCCCACTTCCTACAAGGATGTAAAACTTTTCATTGATCCCATGTGACTTCCCAAGTTCTTAGCAACCAGCCTTACATGACTGTTGTCCCTGCTGTCCCCCCCCCCCCCAAAAGGAAGAATGACAGAAAGGTCTGTTCCAGTCTGGGATCCGTAACCCTTGGTGTGGCAGCAACTGAACTTCTATTGGCGAAATCTTGGCAAGGATGAGACCATGCTTGACATCATTCACAGTGGAGGTAAGAGAACCAAAAACACAACTTACTACATCTGGAAGGTAGAGTATGTACACGAGGGTCCCAGGAGGACACAGCCCATATGTCCTTCCCTCTGTAGGAGAAAAGAGAAACAAGTCATCCCCCAAACTTCATGGCTGTTTCAAGTACAGGACACAGGGGACTGGGTAGCTCAGAAGGCTGGGAAGATGGTCTCATGCTTCTAGGAAGCACTGGATAGGGGAAGGCGATGTTAAGGACTCACAGTCTGAGTAGAGCAGTGCTGCTGTGTAGGATAACACTGTTTTGTCCTTTCTGCATAGCCTCAGGTAGTTTAGGGTTATTGGATTGCTCCCATCACAGTGCTACAGTTCCTCTGTGTTTATTTGTAACTTCTTTCTTTGTGCTCTGTTGATTTGTAAATATTGTTTTTCTCTTCTCCCTAACTCCTTTGCATAGTTTATTCAGAGCAATGTCCTTTTTGTATGGATACAAGAAGATAGTATATGCTATGTTTTTGTAATGTGACTCAGTGATATTTTCCTCCTGGGCATCTGTTCTCTCACTTAAGCTTCAGCTGCCCTTACTTCCTAGCACCCCAAAAGCAGGGTCCCAATGAGGGACTGGATGGAACCAGGGCAAGTCGTAAGCTATGTGCTACCCTGGCATGGAGATGGGCCTGGCCAAAGTGCCATAATGCTTAACTATAAGTTAAGAGCTTGGTCATGGACAAATGCTGTCATGATCCAAAAAGTCATAACTAGATACGGATCTTGCTAGGGTTAGGGATGATTGATCTGGCCTGAACTCTATAGTCTAAGTCTGTGGAAAGATGTTCCCAGAAGAGCTTCCCTACAAGCCTCAATGTATCTCTTACTGTGTCCATACAAAAATAACTAGTATTAAGATGTTGAGAGAGTTATTGGACTGAGGAAAGGAGAAGAACACCTTAGGAGGTATTTTGCCCTTGGGCAGTCAGGAAGGGCTTTGGAATACCCAGGGTGGTGTTTCCTTTGAACCTGGTGGGCCCTCAGGAAGGGCTTTCTTACGTTGATTTGGCTACCTGACTGGGTGAAGTGTCAGCCAGAGGGCTGGGGAGTTGGAGAGGTAGAGAGCTGAGAGAGTTGGAAAGTGAGAGAGAGAGCAAGGCAGCAAGGTGGACCTTGGAGAGACTAGCAAGGGGGACAGAGAGAAAGAATGTAGAAGAATAGAGGAGCAGGTGCGGAGCGTGGAGAGAGAGAGAGCCCAGGCTGTGAGATGGAGCGTGGAGAGATGAGTGGGAGAGACAGGAGGAGACGAGGATGAGGAGCAGTGTGAGACTGGAATGGGAAGCTCAGAAAGACTGGGGCAGGCGCGTGGGGAGAATAGAATAAATGGCAACTGATCAATCTACCAGCTTGGCTCTCGTTTCGTCCACCATCAGCCCCATGACCCGGGCCACCCTGGCTGTGGGAGTGGCCCGGGACCCAACCTGAATGCGGGTGGCTAGAGGAAGAGACGTGGGGGCCTCCCCCTGGCTGCCCTTGGAGTTTATACACTGCTGGTGGAAGGGAAAGAGTTCCCGGGCGGATGATTTGTCCAGAGGAGCTGGTGGACTCTAACTGGCAGGATCTCTAGGCCAGAGGCAGAGAGACTGGATTTGGAGGAAAGGGGGTAAGTTTCTGTTTTAGGGAGAGTCTTAACACAGGATCAGGAGAACAAAGACTATGAAGCAGCTGGGGAACCACAGACCTCAGTTTTCATTATTTCTTTGGGGAAACCAGACAGGGTTTATTATTATTATTTTTCTTTATTATTTTATTATTTAAATTTAAAAATTAATATTTTAATACTTTTAATTGGTCCAATTTAATTTAATATTAATTAAAATTTTAATATTTTAATACTTTTAAAAAATTGGTCCTATTCTAAAGATCATGCTTCTGAACCTAAAGAAACAATTTGGTGGCAATTTCTTACTTTAGGTTCATCTTAGAACAAATAGAGGGTGTGTGTGTGTGTGTGTGTTGTCTCTATGTAGGTTGTCCTTATATATTTGATTCAGTCAAGGTTCACATTTACAGGTATTTATTTATAATCCAGAGACAAAAACAAAGTTTCTGGAATCACAGCATTGGCGGCCATGAGAGCTCTTATAATCTAGTTCTCCTTCTTGGAGAACCTGGCAAGCTACCGAGAGTATCCCACCCGCGTGGCAGAGCCTGGCAAGCTCCCGTGGCATATTTGATATGCCAAAAACAGTTACAATGATGTGTCTCATTCCCCTGACCCTGAAAGAACCTCCAATGCAGCACTGTTGGGAACGGCAAGTAAGGAGAAGCTGCTAAAATCTCAGGGCTAGGACGAATGCAGATGTTACTGGTGCCCGCTCAAGCAAATCAATGAATAAGGGGATGACAGTGATGCAGTGATTTTATTATTATTACATTATTATTATATCATTATTATTATTGTTATTATTATTGGCTTTTTGGGTCACACCCGACAATGCACAGGGATTCCTCCTGGCTCTGCACTCAGCAATTACTTCTGGTGGTGCTCAGGGGACTATATGGGATACTGGGAATTGAGCCTCTTCTCAGGGCACAGTTAAGGGGGCACCTCACATACCTCCATGTCTCTGGGAACTTGGAACTGTCTCACTGCATAAAGTTCTAGATGGGGGTTGGGAGGAAGGATTAAGCAAGAACCACTCTCTTCCCTTCACCTCTACTTTTGTTGACCTTTCACCTTCTTAATCTTACCATCACTACATTGAAGTTGGTTTTATTTAGTCTTAAAGCAATGAACCATGAAAGAGATCACTGGTGAGAGATTCCAGCAGAGATCTCTTGGAATAGGAGAGCCTCAGGTCTAACTCCTGGCTCTGAGCTCAGGGATCATTCCTAGTGATGCTCAGGAGAACATATGGGGTGCTGGTGATCAAATCCAGGTTAGCTGCGTGCACTGGTCCCAGAATACATTTTTTTTCCTTTTCTTTCTTTTTTTAAAAATTTTTATTAGTGAAACACTATGAGGTACAGTTGTAGACTTACAAATTTTGTGCTTGGGTTTCAGTTATACAATGATCGAGTACCCATCCCTCCACCAGTGCCCATTCTCCACCACCAATGAACCCAGTATACCTCCCACCCCCCATCACCCATCCCACCTCGCCTCTGTGGCAGGGCATTCCCTTTTGTTCTCTCTTTCCTTTTGGGTGCTGTGATTTGCAAAAGAGGCACTGAGTGGCAATCATGTTCGGTCTATAGTCTACTTTCAGCATGCATCTTCCATCCTGGGAGGATCCTCCCAACATTCTTTACTTGGTGCTCCCTTCCCTATCTGAGCTGCCTTTCCCCCTAGCATGTACAACTGGCCTCCAAGCCACAGAGTGAACCCTTTGGTACTTATCTTGGCTATTCTTGTTTGTTAGTCTCCTATTTTGTTACTTTATATTCCTCAGATGAATGCAATCTTTCTATGTCCGTCCCTCTCTTTCTGACTCATTTCCAGAATACATTTTTCTAACAACATACCTGTGGCATTTTCCTCAAGGACACAAAAGACACAAAGGCATCCCCATTAATTCTAATGTTTAACATTTAAGACTTTTTTTTTAGTATGTTATTTATTTATTTATTTATTTAGTTTTGCTTTCTAGATCATACCTGGCTATGTTCAGGGGTTTCTCCTGACTCTACACTCAGGAATTACTCCTGGCAGTACTTGGGGGACTAGATGGGATGCTGGGGATTGAACTCAGGTTGGCCATGTGCAAGGCAAACACCCTCCCCACTGTACTATGACTCCAGTCCCAACATTTAAGATGTTTTAATACCAGTTGAAGGTAAAACTTTCCCCACCACTGAACATAGATAGCGATCATCCAGGGCTAAGGATCTCCTCACTTCCCTGCGCTCCTGGTAGGTCCATGACACAGGAAGGGGAAACACAAAGTCAGAGGATCTGCCTCCAACATACTCGCAACTGGAGGACATGAGCCTATCTCAAGGCCAAATTTCCCACAGGTGCTGCCAGGCTGAGAGCCACAGCTGACGGGCAGAGACTCACCGAGATCTTCCGGAGCAGGTCGAGACCCTCACAGTTGCTGCTCCGACAGTCATTTGACTTAGAAATCAAGTTGTCCGAGTAGATATAATTAGCTTTCAGGGTCACGTTTATGTCTGTTATTCAGCAAGGAAGGAAAAGAGAAAACAAAATGTTAATGCTCAATTAATGGAATGTTAATTTATAACAGAGATGAGAGTTACCATTTGCCGACCAATCCTCTGGGAAAATGGGTGTTTATCTCTAGGCTGAGAAATATGCCAGTTCCTACTTCCTGTCCTACTCTCTCACGTATTTCCTCTCTCTCTCTCTCTCTCTCTCTCTCTCTCTCTCTCTCTCTCTCTCTCTCTCTCTTTTGTCTCAATAGTTGGCAATTCTCAGGAAATGCTTCAAGCGGTGCTTGGGGGAACAAGTAGTTCTGGGGATCAAATTCGGGCTCCCCACATGCAAAGCATGTGCTCAGCCTACTAACTGTCTCTCTGGCCTAAAAAGGTAGCTTTTAGGGCTTTTTTCTTTTTCTTTTTTTTCTTTTTGCAGAACCCAACAAGTAGGAGAGGCCAATGTATTTTATTTAATTCTCCATGATGGGATATAGAACCTTGGAAGCCAGGAGATTGGGATAAGTGAGATATTGTTGGGCCAGAGAATGGGGACAGTGTACACGGGCGGAGAAAAAGGGCACTGGGCGAGGCATTGGAAAGCAGCAGTGGGGATGTGGAGACAGGGACACAGGCACACACACACAGCTCAGGGACTTGACCCCAGCTGTCGCTAGTAGTGCAGAAGGCAGCTTCCCCCACCAGACCTCTTCTGAGGGGTTCTGCTAACTCCTGCCACCATGAGAGACACTGAAGATGACCCCCATAAAGACCCTAGTACCAGGCAGTCCATGGGGTGGGGTGGCGGGCACAGCAAAAGTCACAGCTAAACCCTGCAAAGGTCTCGGAGATGGGACTCAGCAACTGTGGGACAAGGGTCTTGGACAAGCACCTTCATCTCAGAGGTGCCTCTTGCTTACCGAGGAACTGAGTCTCCACTGCTATAGGTCTAGCTCAGAGCTGTGGATTTTTGCCTGCACTGTTTTACTTAAGTCTCCCCACACATCTAAGAGGTGAAATACAGTCAGATATTCCTAACAAAAATGAGAAGATGGAGGGTTAGAGAGGGAAGTTAATTGCTTGAGGTTACACAAATGGCAAGAGGTGGCGCTGGGATTTGAAACAAAGACTGCTGATTCTAGAATACAGAACTCCGGGCTGGAGCAATAGCACAGCATGTAGGGAATTTGCCTTGCACGCAGTCGAGCCAGGTTCGATTCCCAGCATCCCATATGGTCCCCTGAGCACTGCCACGGGTAATTCCTGAGTGCAGAACTAGGAGTAACCCCTGTGCATAGCCAGGTGTGACCCAAAGAGCAAAATAAAAAAAAAAAAGGAAAAGAATACAGAACTCAGAACTCAAGTCACGTTCTTTATCAACAATAAGAGCAAACACCCTTGTCCTCAATGTTAGAAACCTTTTATGACTAAGGATCTAAGGAACACAACTGTAAAACAATATGTTTTCCCAAAATAAGTCAGCTGAAGCAGTCAGTAAAGCATTTTCCAAATAGTGAGTGGTGTAAGTATGTGAATATATTATTATGTGAAGATGTAATATGCTAATAGTGAATATTTATTAATACATTTGCAAGCAACTATTTTTAAAACTATGCATTAAAATGCAGGAATCACTTTAATAATTAAAATAGAAAACTAAAAGTATGGACTTTTTTGTTGTTTGTTTTCTATTGCTGGTTATGAATAACATATGATGTTGCGTGGCTGCAGTAGTGGCTGTGCGATTTTGAAATTTTGAAATTTTAACACTTAAATCTGGAAGGATTTCTGCCAAAACCTGCTGGGTTCGGAGATTTGTTCCTGAGTCTCTGGGATCATGGCTGTTAAGCAGCTTGATCAGGAGCCAGAAAGGCCATTCGTGGGCGATGACTTGGGGTCTTGTTGGAGTGGGGAGGACAGGACTGGCTCCACCCCCATCCCGTGAGGCCCTATATGTCTTGTCATTGCAGGCCCAACCTGACTGTCCAGTGGCATCTGGAGGATGATAGCCACCAAGCCACCAGGGGGAAGCAGGTGGTGGGACAACACCCTTTCTCCCCTGGGGTGGCCCAGCGACAGTAACCAACTGCATGGTCCGGAACCATTTCTGCCAAAAGCCGCTGGTTGGAGATTTGTTTCTGAGTCTCTAGTATCATGGCTGTTAAGCAGCTTGGAGCCAGAGAGGCTGTTCGTGGGCGACGACTTGGGTTTTCATTGGGACGGAGAGGACAGGACCAGCTCCACCCCCATCCCGTGAGGCACAAGTTTCATCACTGCGGGTCCAAGCCTGACTGTCCAATGGCCTCTGGAGGATGGTGACCATCGAGCCACCAAGGGGGAGCAGGCAGAGGGACAGCACCCTTTCCCCCCTGGGGTGGCCCAGCAACAGTAACCTACTGCGGGGTCCGGACACAAAGCCATGGGGTTTTGAGATTTGTTTCTAAGTCTCTGGGATCATGGCCGTTAAGCAGCTTGATCAGGAGCCAGTGAGGCTGTTCGTGGGCGATGACTTGGGGTCTCGTTGGGGTGGGGAGGACAGGACCGGCTCCACCCCCATCCCGTGAGGCCCTGCGAGTCTCATCACTAGGGGCCCAAACCTGACTGTCCAGTGGCCTCTGGAGGATGGCGGCCACCAGGCCGTCAGGGGGAACAGGCCAAGGGCAAGAAACCTATTCCCACCTGGTTTGGCCCCGCACCGGTAACCTACTACAGGGACCGGATGCATTTCTGCCAAAAGCCACTGGGTTTCGAGATTTGTTTCTGAGTCTCTGGGATCGTGGCCATTAAGCAGTTTAATCAAGAACCAGAGAGGCCATGCCTCCAAGTATGTAGCTGAGCCAGAGGTGGTTTGTGGGTGTGTTTCCCACATACCTAACTTTTGGCCGTTTTCTTTCTTGGTAAACTTTGCCCCAAGTTTTTGGGGTCTGGCCAAAGGCACAGCAGCAATTTTGGGGTATCTGGAAGTCTGAAGGCACCATCATGCTGCTGATATACTCGCCTCACAGGTACAGATTGACCTGCTGGTGGCACCATACCCTTGTGGACCTTTTTTTTTTTTTAATTGAATTTGCCTTCTTCTTGTACAACAGGACCAAGAAGCAAGGCCAACTATTCTATTCGTTGCAAATTCTTAAACAGTCATAATCACTTAAGAAGAGCAACAGGTTTCTGGCCAGGAGTGAGTGTCAGCACATGACTCCTATATGTGAGACCATGGGTTTAATCCCCCGGCAGAAAAATACAAAAAAATAAAAAAAACAGACGACCAACAGGTTTTAAAACCAAACCATGTCTATAGAACATACTGTGGAATCCTGTCTCTCAAATTGCATGACTATATGAACTGTTCTGTTTCTTAATTTGGTGAAAAGAGACATCTTCCCTTTGTCTTTCAAAATCTTACATGCTAAGCAGTTGCTCAAGTAAACACTGAGCACCTCTCAGACAATGGGATGCATTCCAACCAAAGCTGGCCTTGTATTTGGTTTTATTTACTGGGGGCTGAGGTGGACCACATTTGGTGGTGCTCAGGAGATACTCCTGGGTTTGTGCTTATGGGACCAAATGCGATGGTAGGAATTGAACCAGAATTGGCCACATGCAAATGAAGTACCTTAACCCTTGTACTACCTCTCTGGCCCCCAAAGTTTGACATTTTAAATTAGCAGTTACCTCGATGCTATTTCTCAGTCTTCCAAGAACCCCATTTAACAACCATATAAGATCTCAGTTCTGGGAAAATGCTTAGAATATATAGTGATCCAAGAATCCTCTTTGGACTCTAAGGATGAAAGCTGAACCACAGTGAATTCACACGCAGGGGTTGGAATCCAGGGGAAGAACTCCACAACTCCATAGCATATAAGAGTGTTGGGGGGGGGAGGGCTAAGTGTGGAACTTGACCATGTAATTAAGGAATTTACATCCTAAGATTGAAGGAATCATTTTTTCCCCTTCATTTTCCACACAATCTCATTTTATAAGGCCCTGACTTCTTCCATTTGTATTAATTTTCTTCAACTAACTTTTAGGTATATTGCCTTAGATTTTTTACCCTAAATAATAATGCTCAATATGTCTATTTTCTAGTGTTTACTTACATCAACATCCATTTAACAAAATGCATCCCCAAATGAAAAACTCTGGGTATCATCTCTTCTTTTTTTCTTTCATGCCTCCAAAACTGTCCACTCACTACTTCATCATCCACCCTCCCATTAATGTCTATTTCATAAATGAGGTGAGTGAAACTTTGAATAAAAGACTCATTCAGAGCCACAAGTAAATGATGGTGCAGGAATCAAATTGAGGTTGTATGTTTTCAGAAGACAAGACTTTAACCAACATACTATATTATGTGGGACTGGAGTGATAGCACAGCAGTAGGGTGTTTGCCTTGCATGCAGCTGGCCTGGCCGAGCCAGGTTCGATTCCTCTGCCCCTCTCGGAGAGCCCGACAAGCTACCGAGAGTATCTCCCCCGCACAGCAAAGCCTGGCAAGCTACCCGTGATGTATTCAATGTGCCAAACACAGTAACAATAAGTCTCATGATGGAGACGTTACTTGGCCCGCTCGAGCAAATCGATGAACAATGGGAGGACCATGACCGTGACTATATTTTGTATTTTTGTTTTTTGGGGGGGCACACTCAGTGATTCTCAGAGGCTACTCCCAGCGGAGTGTCACTCTTGGTGGTGCCCAGGGGGCCAGGCAGTCCTGGACTCCAGGATGCAAAGCATGCACTCCAGCCCTTGGAGCTCTCTCCCTTCCACAGGGCTCATTTTTATGCCTCATGTCTTGATCTCTGAACAGCAACAACTGCACAGCAAAAATCACAACAGTCATATTCTTCCCAAGGACAGCAGCAACAACCATGGTCACTTACTGAGTTCTTGACATGGTTCAGTCAGTATGTGTGTCCTTCTACAAGTCCTTCACTTAATCCGCACCATCTCTGAAGTTCTACCTTCTATGGGTAGGGAATTGAGGGGACTGAGACTTGGAAAACTTCATTTTCTCAAAGTCCTTAGTGAGAGGTGGTTGGATAAAAGGTTGAAAATTGATCTGTGTGATTTCAAATCTAAAGTGAGTGCATGCTTGTATGTTTATTGCAGCACTATTTACAATAGCCAGAATCTGGAAAAAACCCAAGTGCCCGAGAACAGATGACTGGTCAAAAAACTCTGGTACATCTATACAATGGAATACTATGCAGCTGTTAGAAAAGATGACGTCGTGAAATTTGCATATAAGTCGATCAACATGGAGAGTATCATGCTAAATGAAATGAGTCCGAGAGGGACAGACATAGAATGACTGCACTAATTTGTGGAATATAAAGTAACATAATGAGAGACTAACACCCAAGGATAGTAGAGATAAGGGCCAGAGGATCGCTCCACAGCTTGGAAGTCAGCCTCACATGCTGGGGAGAAAGGCAGGTCAGATGGAGAAGGGACCACCAAGTAAATGATGCTTGGAGAGCTCGCTCAGGATGCAAAATGTGTGCTAAAAGTAGACTATGGACCAAACACGATGACCACTTAGTACCTGTATTGCAAGCCTTAACACCCAAAACCTAGATAAAAGGAGAGAGAGAGTAAAAGGAATGTCCCTACCACAGAGGCAGGGGGGGATGGGATGGGGGTGGCGGGAGGGATACTGGGAACATTTGTGGTGGAGAATGGACACGAATGGAGGGATGGGTACTCAATCATTGTATGACTGAAACATAACCACGAAAGTTTAAGTCTGTAACTGTACCTCACAGTGATTCATTAAATAATTTTTAAAAAATAAATAAATAAATCCCAGCTCCAACCAAGAGCTTTTTACTCCACAGCCTGGAGGATTAGTGGGTTTTATTCAATGTCCTATTCCATCATAACTACAGATCAACCCACCTACTTTCGTCCAGCTCCTGGTTCACACAGGGGAGAAGCAGTGTATGAGGCAGAAGGAACAAGTGGTTACTCATGTGTGCTGGTGGATACCTGCTGCAATTATTACCATAGAATTTTAAACATAGAAAATCAAGACAAGTCCTACTGAGACTCATAAATAACCATTAACATGTATGAAATTGTCATGGATGGAGTAATTACACTTCTGGCAACTTAGACTCAAAGAACTGAAAGAAAAGAAGAAGCCCTAGATACAAGGAAACATTTACTGAACTATTGTTTTAAATAATCATGAGAAATTAAAATCAATGGGAGAGTTGACAATAGGAGATTATCAAAGGACATGGACAGTCATTCCCGCATCGTCCTGGAGAGCTGACAGTTTTTGGAAAGTCACTGAGGATACTGGCAAGTGAGACTGAAGGGCACATACTTGTGCTACGTTATAGTGACCCTAGCAAGAGTCTTGAGCAGAAGAAACCCAGGAGCTACATCACTGAACTTGATTGTGAATTTCTAGTGACTTTACATTATACCAATCACTAGAGATGGAAACAAAGACCCCAGCGGAAGATTTCTTGGAATAATTCTCGCTTTATGCATCTGACTGTGCTCAGGGCTTAGTCCTGGTCCAGTACTCAGGAATCTCTCTGGGCAGACTTGGGGCCCATATGGGATGCTGGGAGTAGAACCCAGGTCCACTGAGAGCAAGGCAAGCGCTGTACTTACTCTCCCCTATGTCCTATCTCTCCAGTCCCTCTTCACACATCTTTTCCCTGGGAAATGCCACGAAATCTCAGATTGAGAGCAAGTCATGCCTTTGGGTGTTTTCGTTTGCACCTCATGTGGTGGTCAAAGGGACCTCATGTGGACCTGGGCCACGTGGCCGAGATGTGGACCCAGCCCGGAGTACTGAGGCAGATGCAGAGTTAGCTCAGGGCCGTGGGTTCACTCGACATCCCAAGGCTCCCCAGGATCTGAGGCCTGGGCAGAGAAAGGGGCTGTGAAATGGGCCCGCGGTGAAGGCTGGGTGAGGAGACCAAGGTCCTCCTGACCTACTAGGCTCCGTTGAGGGGAGCAGGGAGGCGGCAGCCCTCGCCTCTTACCAGCTTCCTGCAGACGCTGCTGCACCAGCTCCACTCCCTCATCCACTCTCTCTTTCAGGAATTCCAGAGAAGTAGGGAAGGCCAAGTTGTTCATCATCAGGACGGTGATCTCGTAGCTGCCATTGCCGCAGTTCTGGGTCACCTTGGACGTGGAGAACGTCAGCCCTGGACGCAGAAGCAGCGACCACAAAGCGCAGGCCAGCAGTGGTGTCTTCATGGCCTCGCGGCCCTCCGCACCATACTTCTGGGGCTCTGCTGCTCTCTGCGGGGCTTCCGGGGAGGCAGGCACTGGCCACCCTCTTGCCAGGTCCTGGGTTCCCCACACTCCTCTCTGCTCATGCCGCCCCGGTCATGTGGGCAGAGAGTACAACCTGCCCGGCAGCAATTAGCACCTGCCTTATGGCAGGAGACCAGGCAAAGTTCATTTGCTGTGTTTGCTCGCAGAAAGGTCAGAGTTATAAACCGGGGAGATTGCCTGGGCCTCACCCAACACAAATCGACGTCAATTTGTGACACGGCTGGAAAAAGGGGGAGGAAAAAGGGAAGAGGATGGGAATGGGGCAGACATGGAACGCTCTGTCGAATGGAAGGAAAGGCCAAAGAGCAAGATGAAGGCCGGGGGGTGAGGGGTGGGGGGGATGGATTCGCCCGCTGCAGCCCATGGAGACCTGGTCTTGAATGAGGAAGCTTGCCACCAAGGTTCTGTGGCTATTGACGGGCGCTGGACACGTGTGGGGCATTGGCAAGGCTCTGGCACACAGCCACAATTAATCTGCATACACTCAGTTTCTCACGGAGCGCACCTTCCCAGGGGGCGGATGAGCAGGAAACGATGATAAGGACCCACGGAAGTCAATAATGAGGAACACTGCAAAGGCCTGGGGGCACCCACAGCCAGTGAACCACCATTGGCTTCAGCAAATGGAGGCACGTGCTTGAGAATGTGTCTTCACTGAGCCCTGGGGGATGAAGAGTGGGCAGGAGGGGGCAGGGGGATGCAAGTGGGACATAGAGGGAGCCTGCCTAGCATGGCAAGTGCATGAGAAGGTGCTAAAGGAGTAGGAGTAGGACACGGACTTTCCTCAAAGTCACCGGCAATTGGAATGTCCCCGTAAGAGGCCAGGAAGGGACACGGTGAGATGATTTTTGTAAGGATCCCTAGAGCTGACCTGGAGAGGGGCAGAGTGGGGGCGTGAAGCACAGGTTAGGTGGTCCAAGGAAGACCTGGATGAGGGCAGGGGGGACGCCTCCAGAGGCACCGAAAGGTCAAATGGTTAAGGCTTGATGCTTGATTGGATTTGGGGCCCAAGGAACGGAAGCAATAAGAATCCTGATTTATATAACTCAACTGGAAATGCGTTTGCCAATACATTCTAGAGTTCTTTGAGTTCTTTGAAGAAGACTGTCACTTCCATTTTGGGATACTCTTGGTTGTTTGTTTGTTTTTTCTTTTTGGGTTACACCTGGTGAATGCACAGGGACTCCTGGCTTTGGACTCAGGAATTGCTCCTGGTGGTACTTGGGAGACCATATGGGATGCTGGAAATCAAACCCGGGTCGGCTGTGTGCAAGGCAAACGCTTTTCCCGCGGTGCTATCTCTCCAGCCCTGACATTCTGGTTTGGAGACTGTGCAGAGAATAGGCCCATGCAATTTGGGCAAAAGAACCTGGATCCAAATGGGGGGGTCTCCTGGAAATTGAGTCAGAGGAGCAATATGAGTGACCAAGTCATGCCAATGTTTCCACCAGTGTCCTGATGATCACGAGGGGCAAAATGCATGCTTTTAACTTAGAGGCATGGGGTTGGAGGGATGCAGCAGCAGGTGACGTGCTTGCCTCGCATGATGCATGGTTGCATAAGCAATGCAAAAGCAGCCTCTGAGCGTCAGTGTGAACCCAAGGAACACACTCATCCCAATAAAAAGGTAAGGTGTCTTTCTTTGGACGATGCTGTTAGCAGAATTGGAAGGAAGGGATAAATAGAGGAAAACTGGGCAGGGGTGGACACACATAGCAATGCTCAGGGGTTATTCCCAGCTTGGTGCTCAAAGGACTGTGTGATGCCAGGGACCGACCCAGGCCTCTTATATGCAAAGCGTGTGGTCCACCCTGATAAATATCTCTCTGGTCCCTCTAGAAGAAATTGTGTTTGTGGACCACACCTAGAACCTGGACAGTGCTCAGGGATCACTCCTGGTGTGCTTAGGGGACCGTATGTGATGCAGGGGATCAAATCAGGCTGGCTGCATAGAAATCAAGCACCCAATCCACTGTACTGTCTTTTCAGTCCCATCTAGGAGGGTTTTTTTTAATTGAATCACCATGAGATAGAGCAATACAAAATTGTTCATGATTGTGTTTCAGTGTTCCATCACTTACTCCTCCACCAGTGTAATTTCCCAGCACCGGTGTCCCGAGTTTCTCTCCCACCCTTCCAAGTCACCCCACCTCCACTCCCACCCCAGCCTGCCTCTGCCTCTATAATAGGTATCTGTCTTCCCTCGCTTTCTTTCTCTTTTCTCTTCTAGGAGCTTTATTTATTTATTTTTTAATTTTTAGTAGTGAGACACCATGAGGTACAGTTGTAGACTTACAAATTTTGTGTTTGGGTTTCAATTATACAATGATCAAATACCCATCCCTCCACCAGTGCCCATTTCCCACCACCACGGATCCCAGTATTCCTCCCATTCCCCCCATTCCACCCTGTCTCTGTGGCAGGAAATTCCCCTTTGTTCTCTCTCTCCTTTTGGGTGTTGTGGATAGCAAAAGAGGCATTGAGTGGCAATCATGTTTGGTCTATAGTCTACTTTCAGCATGCTTCTCCTATCCTAAGATGATCCTCCCAACATGCTTTATTTGGTGCTCCCTTCTCTGTCTGAGCTGCCTTTTTCCCTAGCATGTGTGGCTGGCCTCCAAGCCATGGAGCAAAATTCCTGGTACTAATCTTGGCCATTCTTGGGTGTTAGTCTCCTAAGGATAGAAATTAGTAAGGAGTTAGTTATGAGTTGTAAAGAGGAAAGAGGGGACAACCAAGAAAGGTTCTTAGAAAAAAAGGGATTGCAAACTTGGAAAGGAACAATTTTTTTAATGAAAGTAACCAGCTGAGGGGCCAGAGTGATAGCACAGCGGGTAGAGCGTGTGCCTTGCATGCATCCAACCTTGGTTCAATCCCCAGTATCCCATATGGTCCCCCAAGCACCGCCAGGAGTGATTCTTGTGTGCAGAGCCAGGAATAACCCCTGAGCATCACCAGGTGTGACCCAGAAAGCAAAAATAAATAAATAAATAAATAAATAAATAAATAAAAAGTAACCAGCTGAGGGGCAGGCAGGGAGATGGCTCAGAGGGCCAGAGCACAGCTTTGCATTGAGGAAACCCCCTGAACACCAAGCCAAGAGCAGCCCCTTAGCACTGTCAGGTATGCCCCCCCCCCAAAAGTAAAATTACAGGTTGGAGAGAGAGTACAGGGGTTAAGGCACTAGTCTGGCATGAGGTTCAACCAGCAACACTGTATATGGTCCTCCAAGCACTGTGAGGCTCACTTCTGGATTGAGCCAAGAATATCCCTTGTGGATACTGCCAGGTGAGACCTACCTTTTCCCCTTCACCAATAAATAAAAATAACAAAGTGCTTTATGTGGTTATGTATATAATAGATGCGATGCTTAAGCAATGTGGAGGGTAGAGGTAAATCCAACGACTGCTTGTGCTGAGCGTCTTACCCATCAGATTAACTATGAACATACTTTTTCTGCATTGTATGATCCATTACACTCTTACAACTAAGTAAACCAGAGGAGAGAGAGATAAAATGGTATAGAAATGAAAATGAATCCATCAATTTCTACAAAATAATAAGGAAAACACATCTAGAATAGTGCCCTGTATGTATGAATACCCTATTTCTAGAGACTGTTTATAAGAATATCTGGCTACACGTGAACCTACACAATTAAAATTCATGTTGTTCAAAGGCCAGTTGTGTATTTCTAGATGTGTGGACTGGAGCTAAAGATACTTAATGCATAGAGTTCATGTATTTTGGGGGGAGCCAGGGATGGTACAATGGGTAGGGCACTTGTCTTATATGCAGTTAACATGGGTTAGTACCATATATGGTCCCCCAAGCCCCTCTAGGAGTGATCCCTGGATACAGAGCCAAGAGTAAATCTTGAGCACAGCCAGGCGTGACCCCACAAAATAAGAGCATTTTCTACATAAAATAAGATCCCAGGGCTGAGAGGGAGGGGAGGGCAGGGACATGAGACAATGATGATGAGAAACATGTGCCTAGGCTATGCTCTATGTGAGTGTGACATAATGTACTTTGGTGACAGAATTGGCTGTGACCCTGAATGACCTTATTTTAAGATTTTCTCCAGTAATGTTCAGCTTCTCGAGAAAAGTTACATGAACCCCCCAGCTCCCAAGTTTATCAGTAGCTTGGCAGTCATGCCCACAAACTGCCCCTGGTGCCACATACTCTCATCAACAAAAAGTGAACCAAAGACATAAAGGTTTAAAGAAGCACGTTGAAGGAATGGAAGACACAGTCAGGTGTACATACGGGGGGAGAGAGAAGGGGATTTTAACAAGCATCCAGAAAGGGAGTGTCTGAATTAGAGGGCGGATCTTCTCCACTGCTGTCCCTTCAGAGATATGAGGGAAGGGACAAAGTGTCTTTGGACCAAAGAGCTAAGGATCTCAGGAGTGTCTGTGGGCCAGGTCACCAACTGGCTGTTAAGAGTGAACAGACTTTAGGCTCGTGCTAAAAAGGAAACCAGCTTCTGTTGTCCCTCCACTCATGAGGAAGAACAAGCAGGAGTTTAGCAATTATCAGTCCTGCTGACAGAAATGGATCCAGTCATGTTCAGATGGGGCATGCCTAAAAGGAACAGAAGCCACGTTAAAAAAAAAATTAAACTTACAAAGTCGTTCATGCATAGGGAGTTTGTACATATGAATATAGACAGACAAAAAGAATACTCACATGTATTGTCTAAGACAGAGACCATAGTATGGGGTTTTGGAAACATGGCCAAATTTCTAAGACGTTACCGAATTCTTGTTTTCTTTTTGGGTCACACCCAGTAATGCTCTGGGGTTACTCCTGGCTCTGCACTCAGGAATTACTCCTGGTGGTGCTTGGGAGACCATATGGGATACCACATATCGAACCCAGGTCTGCCACGTGCAAGGCAAACGCCTTACTCC